CTTCCTGGGGACGTAGAATCTACAGTGTCATCTCTACCACAGTGAAAACACCGTGACTTTCCTAACCTTTTGACTGAGACCAATAACCTCCTCTTCAAGATCTGCGAGACAACTTCTCAACTGAAGCCAATCCAGACTGGGTCTTGCCCCAGACTGCTGATTATTGAGCAACTGCACATCCCAAAAGGGAGGTGTGGTACTGATCCAATTAGTCTGATAGGCTGTTAGGAACCAAGCAAGGGCTCAATATGTTATGAAAGAATAAATAAGAAAAGCTAAACTGTTACATTAGATTTCTTTCACAAAAGATTTCTGATGCTGAAAGTCATAATTACTTATGATATATTCTAAACATGCACAGGACTTTCAGCATACAAAAACCCAAAGCAGCATTCCCAGAAACTGTCATCCTAAAGTCTGCTGCAAAGACTTCTCTTTGAAGGGCAAACCTCTACACTAGCCTGAATCTCCCTGATTTCAAGCCCAGTCCTGCAGTGTTTATTTATGTGGACAATTCCATTTGCAGTACTCGTGACTGCACAGATAAACTATTCATGACAGAGCAAGCCTCAACTCAAACAAGTCACTTCAAGTAATAATAGGAACAGAAAAAGACTAGTACACGTATTTGAAATACTTTCTGGCTCCATAACATCAGGCTGCAAGTTGAGTGAAAGTTGGCAGAGAACTCATTGAAGAGCCCTATTTCCTACCTAATTAAGGATGACAGATAAAGGAGCCAGGCACATCCTTTTGATTAACGAAGATGATTATGCAATTTTAATACTTAATCTCACTGACTCTTTTTGATAGAGTTCTTCTAAAGCATATCTTTAATGACATTAGATTTCTTCTCATGGCAGCACCTTAGTCTGTGATAGTAAAAAAATGTTCTTTGTTTCTTACTTTCAATACAGACCAGTAGTTACTAAATACTGGTTAATAGTGGTTAAATTCCATCGTCTGTATTATTCATGAAATCATGCTGGGTGAGCATCAAATGGGTTTGACCTCTCATCTATTTATATTTGGAAAAATTCCCAGAAAGAGTTACCACCTCCTGTAATTATGTAGGTGTGTAGTTCTTTCAAGATCATCTTCTTCGTATTACAAGTTTTAAAAGCAAGCCTTGATAAAGGACATCTGATTTTTTTGTTTGTTTTGTTTTGGGTTTTAACATCTTCAAAGTTTTCTCAAAACAAATTATTTATTTTTACCAGCTATAATTAATATGTCTTATCCTATGTCTTCCTTAAAATTGTCTACCATTTATTCATTACAAAGGCTATAACTATATTTGGAGTATTTAAAATGGAATTTTAAATATATTTCCATATATTTATGGAATCTTGCGAGCAGCAGTATTTTCCTGATTTAAAAAACAATATATTCCATGAAAGTAGGATTTGTTCTCTCACCTCAGCTCAGTGCCCATATAGTGCTCACCTGTGAACAAAGAATAAAAACTATCTACATTAAGAGGGATCTTTAGGAAAATGTTATATATGTATTTATTTAATTACAGGGAGCATACTTCCCTAAAGTGCCTAGATTTCTCCAAATCTTAATTTCTCAAAGATTTTTGCTCCCAACTAACAGATAGTAAAAGCTAAGTCACAGATAGCTCTCCTAAGGTTTGCTATCTGAAAACTGTGGTTGGGAAATCCGTCCAAATGTAGGTTATTCCTCTGCCAGAGGTAAATACTAATCAAAAGGCAACAAGCCCTTATCATGTTGTCCATTTTCCAGGCTGAAATGCTTCACCTCTTAAGAATGCATTCCCTTTACTGGAGTGATGGGTGTGCTCTGTGCTCTGACTTGGTGGAGTCTGCCCACTGCTTAAGCCACAGATACCTTTCATTAATTTTCTTTTCTCCTTTTCAGAATCCATCCCTTCTCCTCCTTTCTATCCTCAATGTGAAATACATAACTTGATCCGTGAAATGGGGCTTTACTTCACAGCAGTACACCTCCTTACAGAGCATTTCAAAACTCTGAAACCACACACCTTTGTGGAGCACAGCGGAAGCAATTATCGAGGAATACATTGTGGGTTAGAAAAGTATTAATTTCCATGATTTGTAGGAAACCCCAGAGGAGCTAGTAACTAGGAGATCATCAGCAAAATGTCAAAACTTCTTCCAAAATCAAAAAGGCAACTCCCAGACAAGAGGATTATTAAATACAGACTTCCCCTGTTTTATTAAGGCTCTAACCTTGTAATGGGAACTCTGAGATCTAGCCAAAGGCTTCCCTTGATTCTCAGTTCTGTCTGCAGCTGCAGGGCCAAGACATTGGCACTGTGTTTGCCTCAAAGAGAGGCTGGAGTGCCAAGTTCAGAAATATCTGTAGATCTCTTGGAAAGCAGCAGTGAGAAAAAGGTGTAAATGCATCATCTGCCCCCGGAGAACCTCTCCAGTATCAGAGAGCTTTGAAGCTGCCCAGGAGAATCAGACATGTTATATGAAGGAAGCAGTTTAGGGAAAGCCTGGATGTTTATGTAAGTGTATCAAACAGGCACCTGCTGTTTTCTGAACAATCTGTCAGTTCTCCTGAGATGCCTGAATGAAGGGTGAGGTTTAAAACTCATTTGCAAAATATGTGTAATTTTTTACTCCTGTGGAGGCAAGCTGTGACTCACAGGTGACTTGTAAACTATAAGGATATGCCCCTGAGAAGAGTAATAAAAACCCCCAAACAATGAAGAGAAAGAAAAGACAGTAAATTCCTCCTGTGCAGGGTGCAACAGCACCATGACTCACAGGGGCCCCAGGGGAGAAAGATGCTTTTTGACCTCCATCAACCCTTCCAGGATTGAAAGGTCTTCTCTGTTCAAGGCCATTTTTTTGATGGACCTGCTCTATAAAACTCCTAGGGGGTAGGGAGATGGATATTACAGGAGGTCCCCTCTTTCCCTGAAATTAGTCCATGTTAAAAAAATGCTATGGAGGTGTTACAACCATGCTTTGGGAAAATATAAACATCAAACTGGTGTGCACAGTAATGGGCTGGAAGGAACAGATAGATGCTCAAATGGACAACGGCCAAAATGAAGTGAATTTTTCCTTTTTTTTTTTTTTTCCACTTTCTCCCTTCTATTCATTAATCAATCTGAAAAACAGATTATATTCCTTATCTAAAATTATTTTCTTCACAAACAAACCAAAAAAAATATATGCGTTACAGAACACCATTCCAATACACATTTCTGAAACTCTTCTGACTCCTTCAATTCCTCGACACTGTAAACATACCCTGATATATTTATATGCAGTGATAGCAACCTGAGATCAGTGCTTAAAAATAAACCAAACAGGAATTGCAGTGTGTGTGCAATGCAGGCGATGGATATCTGCAGTAGCTATAGGGGAAATGTACATATACACATAAAGGAAAGGGCAAGAGTAAGTAAAAATGTCAGAGACTTTTTAGTTTGTTATCAGCATATTGGTGGATCTCTTTCTCACTATCTCTTTATCTCATTATCTCTTAAATTCTCCTCTGTGTCAAAAGAAAGTTTTCAGCTTTACTGCTGCATTTTCCTTTACACAACGGAGAATTTTTAATATTTGGTTTTATAACAGTTCATTTTGGCTTCTCAATTTAGGCACCTGCATCAAATGAATTAAGAGGGAATGTAAAGGTTCCTTTGATGCAGGGCTGTACAACACCAAGCAACAGGCTATATAGTAAAAGGAAAACATCTGCATCATCCAGAGAAGAAGTCTACATTTGCGTTCAGTAGGGAGGTCAAGCAGAGACTGCAGGAGATGGCACACAGTAAACTAGGTAGAATAAAGGCACAAGGTTTATTTTGTTTAGAAACCCAAAAAAAATCAAGTGATTTCTAGTCATATACCAAACCAGACAGGAGCAGAATGGCTAACAATGGGAGTTTTTGTAGATTTTAAAACAGCGTGAGTCAAATGTTTAAAAATGGTCATTTCAGCTACTGGAAAGTTGCCTACATGGCAGCAGGCCCTAGGAAATTTGCCCATCGACGAGCCCAGAAGCAAAACCAAGCTTCTGGTGCACATGAAGGTTTGAGGAGATGAAAGCTCACAGCCTGTGCTTCAGAGGAATTGCTACTGCACCAAACTATAAATTATGTACGAATACAGCAGTGATGGCACTGATGGCATCGCTGCATTTTGACACACAGCAGGCCCCCAAAGGAAGTGTTCTCTAATTGGTTTTCTATCCCCCAAAGACAGACTTCTCCTTGGCACCCAGAAAGGAATATATAATCCAAGTGGATGCTCCTCTGAGTAAATTTCCCTCCTGATCTCTCAACAGGGCTTCTGCTCAGGACCATACACCTCCTACTGCAGAACAGCCAAGGAGGATTTCTGGTTCTTACTGATTAGCATGGCAGTAGAGAATGGTGAGAAAGACCAAATTTACAGGTCCGTATAATTTTCAGTAGCAACAAATGGCCCTACAACAACTGCAGCAGGATATTTCCAGACTGAAAAAGAAACCATTTACAGGGCAACTGTGATAGAGAAATTGTATTGTAACAGAAAAACCCATGATGAATACATATGAGAAAATTTCACTAAATTATTCCAATATAGGAATAAGCAAATCACGATTTAGTGGCAGGTCACTGTTCAGTTAGCCATTACAAATAGCTGCATTTAACAGATTTGTTTTGTTTACATAAATGTTAACAAAAGACAGATTAATACATTGTCTGAATTAGAGGACTAAACTGCTCCAATTTAAGGTAAGTATTTGGTAAATCACTGGTGCAGCAATACATGCAGTTATTAAATGCCCTGAAGTCAGACCAAAAGCCAGATAAAAAATTTACTGATAGCAAGATTGCCTCTGAGTTTCCAATTACATTAGTTAATATTAATGATTTCAGTTACTAAATAAAAGAAATTACTCCAAAAGTTTTAGGCCATTTTAACCTACTTTATCTCAGACAGCATTTACATTTATATCTAACTTCATTTTAACACTAAACTGTCTGAGTAATCATTTTAGCAGCAGTGACTTTCAGTGGGGATGTTAATCCTTCTCAGCATAATTTAGATATACTGTAATTTCCACTGTGCAAGAAGGTAACAGAACTTGTGTCCACAGTGAAACTCTCTTCAAGAGAATATAAACTGATCTAAACCTCCTGTGTATTCACAATCAACAAAACCTCATTTTGAACCTAGGAGAAAAAACTTCCCTCTTTCTCTATTACTTCTCACTAACATTTCAACTTGCACTTGAATCCTCCAGTTTGGGTGCAAAAGCACCCTATTAATGCCAAAGCAGGAGCAGGCAGTATTGAAAACCTTCTAAGTGCAGCTGTGTTAGCAGCACAGCCAACTCAAATTTACATAGGCAGGAGATTTGTGGTTTAAACACCCTTACTTCGAGGAGCTTTTAGGGAAAGCTGCCTGAGCTGTGTAACCGCACACCAGATTATCTCTAGGTAAAGACAATTTGGGCATTTTAGAGAAAGACAGTGCTCCAGTACAACCCTAATCAAGGTGGGACTAAACTAGCAGAGAGAAGGGTGCTCCCAGAAATGTGTTTTCCTAGTATGGAAAAAATAGGCTTTGAACACCACGTAACTCACTCATCAGTGGCAGCTCCTCCATTGCAATGATCTGAGCTGGATTTAGGCAACCTTGAACGGAAGCTTCCGATTCTCCTATCATTTTGTCAAGCCAAACTCCTTTCTTGTGGAAGCAAAAAAGCTGGAATTCCCGGAAACAGAAGCTCTGTCAACCCCGTGAGTGTATATATGATTAAGAACAATGAAAACTGTGTGCTGGGAAATGTAAATAGATGACGCATCATTTTCACAGGTGCTGGTCTTTCATTACTCATCAAAAAGGATGAAAAACGTTTAGTTTTCAAGGTATGGGCTAGTTTTAAAATACCAAGTTATTTGTTTGGTTGATTAATTGTTGACTACAGCCAGCAACAGCCAGATCTTCTCCCAACAGGCAGGCAAGAGATCCGACATAAGTTTTGCAGGAAGCACAGCATGTTGCTCAGGGAGTAATTTCACCATAAAGCCCAGAAACCACCTCCTCTCTATGTGCCTACAAGCACCAGAACTTTCCATGCGTTACGGCCAAAAGCAGCTTAAACCTGTAGCAGTAAGCATCTAAACCATTCAGGTAGTGCTAAATATTTTTATTGAATGATCGCCACTGTCTAAAACGACGAGGGAATCACTTGCCACGTAAGTCAGTCCGACAGGGTAAGAAAGCCCTTGGCTAATTAGAGGGTTAAACATGGGAAACTCCTCAGGTTTCCCTAAACATATCACGGCCTGGCTACACACATCCGTTACTATAACACGACCTTCTTTGTCAAAGGCCACAGCCGTAGCATATATTTGGGAGCTGAATACGAGGTTCAGACCGAAGCTATCCACCTGCCCGATGAGATCCATCTCCGCACTGAATATCTTCACTCGGGTGCTGCCCTTGCCCTTGTTCAGTCCTTGAGCCTTCAGGTGCTCTATTACCGCGACAGCCCCCGAGGTCTGGCAGACCGCGACCGCTCTGGGGCTGACGAGCTGAGCCCGGATCATCTGACACTTCTTCAATTCCCCCCTTCCGAAGTCGGCCGTCAGGCGGTACAGAGCGCCTGCCTCCGAGTCGGCCAGGATGACTTCACTCTTGGGGGTGGCATCCAAGCCCCAGGGCAAACGGAAGCCTTCCCGGACCGCCAGGACCCCCCTTCCCTCCAAATCGAAGGCCTTCACGGAGCGGTCCCCGCCGTCGGTGACCACCACGTGCCCGTCCGGCGTGACCGTCACGTCGAGCGGGTACTTCACGTCGTTGCCCGCGTCCCCCCGCTCCCCGAACCGCTGCAGGCACGACCCGCCGGGCCCGAAGACGTGGATCCTCTTCTTGCCGTCGTGCGCCACGGCCAGGCGCCCCGTGCCGCGGCAGGCCGCCACCCCGGTGGGGTTCACCAGCGACCCCCAGCCGCCCAGGCACAGCCGCAGCCCGAGCCCCGCGGGGGCCGGCGCGGCCGCCCCTCGGCCGCCGCTCCCGCCCAGGGCCCGGGCGAGGCGGCCGGCGGGGCCCAGGAGCTCCAGCAGCTGCAGCAGCGGGCGGCAGTCGCTGGTCTCGGCGGGGCCGCAGGGCCGCCGGCAGAAGGGGCACTCGAGGCGCCGCCGGCCCAGGGCCCCCACGCAGCCCCCGCACAGGACGTGCCCGCAGGGCAGGTTGCGCGGCCGCCGCTGCCCGTCGGGGCCGTACGGCTCGAAGCACACGCGGCACTCCAGCAGGCTCAGCTCCGCCTCGTCCTCCGCCGCCATCCCGGCCCGAGGAGGTCGGACGGCTCCCCCGGAGCGGCCTCGGGTTCCCCCGGGCCGGGCGGGGCGGGCGCTGAGCGCGGCCGAGGCGGCCGAGCGCCCCCTGCGGGCCAGCCCGGGCGGGGCGGCGCTGAGGGGCCCGGGCTGCCCGCCCCGCTGGGGCCCCGCATCGGCCAGAGTGTTCAGACACCCAGCACAGTGTTCAAATGTCCACCCGAGCGCTCCCGTCTCCGCCGGATGATTCGCAGATCCACCAGATTATTCGGTATATCCACCAGATCCTCACAGACATCCAGTTACCACGTTACCAAACCACTTATAGCGCTATTTATGCCCCTACCACAGTAAGGAAGTAAGCCACGGTTTCACAGAATCATACAACGGTTGGAATGGACCTTGAAGATCATCTAGTTCCAACCCCCCCTGCCATGGGCAGGGGCATCCATCTCCCACTAGGCCGGGTTGCTCAGAGCCTCATCCAACCTGGCCTCGAACTCTTCCACGCCTGGGGCATCCACAGCTTCTCTGGGCAATCTGTGCCAGTGCCTCACCACACTTACACTAAAAAATGGCTTCCTAATATCCAATCTAAACCTGTCCTCTGTCCGTTTGAAGCCATTACCCGTTGTCCTGTCACTGCATGACCTTGAAAAAAGTTTCTTTTCAACTCTCCTGGAAGCCCTTCAGATACTGGAAGGCGCTATAGGGTTTCCCTTGAGCCTTCTGCAAGCTGAACAACCCTAACTCTCTCAGCCTTTCTTTGTAGGAGAGATGGTCCATCCCTCTGAGCATCTTTATTTCATCAGATTTCTCTTGCTGTTCTGGGAGACTTTTGACAACACAACGAAAATATTTACATTCAACAGTAGTAGACACCTTTCTTGGACACACATCTTCTAAGGTACAATGGACAGCGTGTGCTTGTTCTGCAAGGTGTATTTACAGTGTATTTTCAGAGTAACTGCATGGTACGCACACGGCAGAGGCATCTTACACATCCCAAAATGGCTCGTTTGGCAGGTGGCATGGCTCTTGCTAGGTTGTCACATACCTGAAAGTCCTGCACAGGACATCACGGAGCACGCAGCAGTCTCATGCCAAGCACCTGGCCTTCTGAGGCTATCAGGTGTCTGGAAGTCCGAGATAAACTTCAGCAGCTCTCATGTTGCATCCAGAAAAAAATTTCTGGATTGAAAGAAAGGGGATGCTTTATCCTGGTAGCTGCAGTAGTGACCAGAAGTGAAAACATACAAAAATAACAGCTCTGAGCTTGCCCTGGCCCACTGGCTACATCCTTTCTCTCTGTCAACCTGACCTTGAAACATAAATATCTACAAGTAATATCGAGTGTTGCAATGGAATGCAGGCATGAGGACTGCTGTGCTGATATCATTAGACCCACTTCCAGCTCTAGGACTACAGCACTCTAAAAAGCCTCAAGGCTTTCACTTGCCTTCTATTCTTGATGCACTATGATAACGCTACATCCCAACCATACTTTCCTTTCAAAATAAGCTGCAAAGGGGAAAAGTTCCAGCACTCTGTCACCCTCAAAGTAGAGAAGTTTTTCCTTATATTCAGATGGAACTTCCTGTGTTTTGGTTTGGGCCTGTTGCTCCTTGTCGTGTTGCTGGGCAACACTGAAAAGTCTGGTCCCATCCTCTTGACACCAGACCTTAAAGATATTTGTAAGCATTGATGGTCTCCTCTCAGTTTTCTCCTCTCCAGGATAAATAATCCCAGCTCTCTCAGCCTGTCCTCATAAGAGAGATGCTCTAGTCCACTAGGCATCTTCACAGCCCTCTGCTGGACCCACTCCTGGACATCCAGGTCTGTCTTGTACTGAGGAGCCCAGAACAGGACACAGCACTCCAGATGTGGCTCATTAGAGAGGCAGGATCACCTCCCTCAACCTGCTGGCCACAGTTTTCCTAATGCATCCCAGGAGACCAGTGGCCTTTTTGGCCACAAGGGCACACTGCTGGCTAACCTGTTGATCACCAGGTCCTTCTCTGCACTTGCCTTCAGTGAGATTCCCTAGGTTCCTCTCTGCTCAGCTCTTGAGCCTGTCCAGGTCTTGCTGAATGGCAGCACAGCCCTCTGGTGTGTCAGCCACTCCCCCTAGTTTTGTATCATCTGCAAACTTACTGCAGGTATGCTCTGTCCCTTCACTGAGGTCACTGATGGATAAGCTGGACAAGGCTGGAGCCAGTACTAAGCCTTAGGAACACCACTTGCTCCAGGCCTCCATCTAGATTCTGTGTCACTGATCAGAATCTGCTGAGCTCCGCCATTCAGCCAGTTCTTTAACCACCTCACTGTCCACTAACCCAATCTATACTTCCTGATCTTGCCTATGAGGACGTTATGGGAGACAGTGTCAAAAGCCTTGCTGAAGTCCAGGTAGACAACATCCACTGCTCTTCCCTCATCTACCCAGACAGTCATCACATCACAGAAGGCCATCAGACCAGTCAAGCATGATTTTCACTTGGTAAATCCATGTTGACTACTCCTGATAACCTTTTCCTCCACGTGCTTAGAGATGACATCCAGGATGGGTTGTTCCATCACCTTTCCATGGATTGAGGTGAGGCTGACTGGCGTGCAGATGCCTAGATCCTCCTTCTTGCCCTTTTTGAAGACTGGAGTGACAGTCTTTCCTTCAGCCCTCAGGCACCCCCTCCTGTTCTCCACAACCTTTCAAAGATGATGGAAAATGGCTTAGCAGCCAGAAGATTTGAATTGATATGTAAGAAAAATATATACTTTAATAATGCTTGTTTGTGCATGGAGTTTAAGAAAATCTGTGCACATACCAAGGCAGTGAAGGCAACTGTGCAGAAGAGCTGACTTTGTAAGCAAAATGGACAAAAATATTCCACAGGTAATTTTCTGTACACTAGAGCCTGCTTTAAGAATGCTCCATTTTAAAATGTGAGGTAAAAATAAAGGCAGGATGGGAGGCAAGCTATTTTAATTAATTTTAATCAAGCTACAAACTTTAATATATATAGCACCTCCAGAAAATAATCTAGTCCCCATTGTTTATGCCTTTCTGAGAAATCATCAACTTTTTCAAGACACTGAATTTCACAGCAGTTGCCTGAAAAAAAGGAAAGAGTAACAAATTGGTGAATGATTAGTCAGTGAAAAATGAAAACTGGCCAGAAAAAAATAAATCTTATCCACAGATTTCCTTACAGTCCCTAATGCAGTGACATAAATGCACTTCAGAAAACTTGCCTGTCTCTTTTGCACTGGGATGTAACTCTCTATACCAATGACTCACTGCATATAAACACTGCAGGAGCCTCAGAAAGTTGTAAATTAAAGAGCAATTTTAAAGCATATCAGAAGGAACTTTTAAAATTAAATGTCTGCCATAACTCCAATGTTTATTATTTTAATGGATTTGAGCTGTGCACTTTTAGCATTTTCTTTGTGTAGCATGTTACTTCTTTTTCTTTTTCACAAGAGTACAGAAGAAAATGTAGCACTGGTCGGCCTTATATTAAAATCAGGGCAGCAGATTGATGAGGTGCAGACAAAGACTAAACGGTCAAGTGGGACTAAGAGAGCAGCTACAAGATCACTGAGTGCAGTATGAAGCCTGGGAGAATAAAAAAGATGCCACAGGGAGGCAAGAGACAATTTGTCTCTCAGGTTTTCTTCATATCCTTTGGAGAGCTGAGAATTTTCCTTCACAGCAAAATCCCTGTGGCTAAATGGTATTTATTTTTTCTGGTATTTTTCCATGACTCCAGCCCGTAGATAAGAAGCAAATAACTGTATCACTCGTCACAGGGCAAGGTAGAGGCATATAAACACATTTATGCATTTTGGAAAAAAATCCTAAGTGTTAGCTGAAATATTACTTACCAAACAAGCTTTTAATTTCAGATTCAGGAACATAAAATGGGGGGCCTGAAAGAAAAGGGGTGAAGCTAATCACACAGGAGACACTGGAAGAAGACAATCATTCACACTGCAGTAGGAGAGCCAGCCCGTTCACGCACAACACCTGGCCTGTAATTGGGCCCCAGGATGTAGCACCATCAGCAGCAACCAGAAAACAACACAACCAAGGACCTGTGGCACCCTGGTGGGCCACCAGACAACTTCAGGTGTTGCTGCTGCATCATCTCCAACCACATGCAGGGAATCATGAATGTGACGTGGGTACAACCACTCTCAGTGTGCTGTGTGAATCCAGCCTCGACCTCTTCATACTACAACGTCATAATTAAAGCTAAAAGTTGAACAATGTGAGAGGGAAAGCAATGAATTAAACAAGACCTATTTTTTTCAGGGATAATTATGTTGAGGGGCCCAAAAGCAGCAAGAAATCTCTTTCTTTTGTGTGCTAATAATAACAAAAAATATAATCTTTTAAAATACCTCACACTTCAGTATATAATATAAAAGGAAAGAATACCTTATGTTTTTATAAAATTCCACCTCTTCCAAGTATATTCAGAACAGGGTAATGAGTGGGAGAGAGGCACAAGATGGGCAACACTTGGTAGCAACAATTTGGTAGCAAGCATTGGGTAAACAGTGCAAAGCTGATGTTCTTGGGAGTGTTTCAAGCTCCTGAGGCCAGACAGGATGTTACTAAGCATTCACACTTCCAGCTTCATTGTTACAGCCACACTTCCAGTTTCATTTTATTGTTAATATGCCATGTCTGTCCTCAACTTACCCTTAACACGTCTGAATGCTAGAGAGAACCCAAATTTAGTCTCAAGCTTGGTCAACATCTAAAATTTTTAACACACAGTTAAACTGGTGTGATCAGCTAACAAAGCTAGAGAGATAAAAAACTTGGGGAAGATACAAATACATATATTACCCCTATATACAAGGTGCTTTTTGTATTAAAGCACACAAAATCATAATGTGAACAGCACAAAGTTCTCACCTTTGTGTTTGTTTGGATCATATGAAACCGTAACAAGGAGATAAGAAGAGTTCTTCTCCATTAGGTTGATCATCAAACTGGCATAGCTGAAAGGAGAAAGTTATACTTATTATATATATATATATATATATATATATATATATAACATATAACTTATGTTATTTTTGTAAAGCATTCAAGCATAGCATTCAATATACTCAACAAAAGAGGCAACATGCATTCCTATGCATTTGAACTGAACTGCACAGAGACTAAACAAAATTTAGTTTGAATTTCAGGAGCACGAAATTCATGCTACACATGAAAAACTTCAAGTAAGGTTTATGTTTACTCCTCACAAACAAGTATTTATCCTTTTTTTTGCATATTCAGCTCAAAACTAACAGACAAACCAAGTATTCATCTGTCACAGTCTACAATACAGTACACAATACAGTACTGATCTTTTAAAATTATTGTGAATTCAAGATTATGCATCTAATTAAAAGATCCTGGCAGTAGGTTAAAACTAAATTTGGGTTGGCTACAGGCAAGAACAAAAATTTGGAATCAAGGGAAGCAAGAAGAAAAAGAACACAGAGAAAAGAAGCAGATGTGGTGAAAGGGAAATAATAGAATTCAGATGAGACTTGCAGCTCTGCTTCTAATGGGTTGGAACAAACCGCATATTTTCCCACCAAGAGGCGGGGCGGCTTCCTGGAGGAAGTTCACAGATCTCGAGTACAGCACTCTGCGACGGCAGCAGATGCTTGCGGTAGAGAAAAAACTTGTAGAAAAAAAACTTGTAGAAAAAAAAAACTTGTGTAGGTTAGCCCTTTAAATGAAAGAGGGCTCATCAACAAGTGGCAGGAGGAGAAACCTGTCGCTGCATACATCAGAATAAAGACAATACCAATGCAATTTACTAACCGTTGTCTGTCACATGGGTTCACAGCCACAAGAGCTCCTCTGTCCCAAACTCCATCGAACTTGCCAACTATTGAGCTATAGGGAGATAAGGAAAAGGCTTAAGAAGAGTAAAAAGGCATCTTCATCTTTAATCAGATCCTTTTGTGAAGTCACAAGGACGCAGAAAACCCGTGTGATCTGGGACTCATAAAACCTCCCTGGTACCTGGCCTTGCTGTGGTAATAAAAAGGTGCTGGAACTGGTCGGTGTTTCCCAATCATTAGGGGGTGCTGAGACAAGGCAGGGAGGAAGTAATGTAGCTTTAACACAGTCAGGCTATGAGTCTGGGTGTTTGGTAATCACACCCTGCTGTCAGCCCTGAAGTAATGCTAACATGTACTCAGCACATCAACCGTTCTTGACCACCTTCTAAAACCCATGCATGATTTCAAATGCAGGCTAAGGAAGGTGCCTTGTTGCTTTACTATCGTTGAACTCAGCACATTCAGTAACTTTGGACACCTCAGCTCCCAGCTACATGGCCAGGACAGTTAGCTTCAGCTTTCATTTTGTTTAATGTTGGAAAAGCTAAGTAAAACTGCTGTTTGCCTCAGTGGAACACTACCACTGACATTATTTTTGCTTCTGGTTATGCTGGCAGATGGTTTCAGTGACCACCCCAAACCTGCAAGTGGGCAAGACTATAAAGAAGTGCCTTTATTGATGGGTGGCAAGAGCAGTCAGGGTGACACTAAGATAAGAATATTTGGGGCATGAGGAAGAGCCTTGTTTCTGGTAATTATTAAAAAAGGAGTTTGGAGAATGAGGTAGTAATAATGTCAATTGCATAACTTTAAGGAAAGTTTGAATAGGTTTACTTAGTGAGAAAAATATGGCATGGAATTGTGCAATACCTTTTGGCCTACTGGGAAGGCGTCAGAGTTCAATTGCATCACCTCTGCCTTCATTTGTGTACTGGTTTTGGCTGGGGTAGAGTTATATTTCTTCCTACTGACTTTCATGGGGATGGATATGTTTTGGATTTGTGCTGAAAATAGTGTCCATAAGACACGGATGTTTTGGTTCCTGCTGAGCAGCTCTTACATCAACGCCTTTCTGCTCCTAACACCATGATGTGAGTAGGGTGGAGGTGCACAAGAAGCTGGGAGCAGACACAGCTGAGACAGCTGACCCCAGCTGAGCAAAGGGATCTCCAAACCATATGGTGTCATGCTAAGCAAAAAAAAATTGGGAGGGAGGTTTGCTAAGCAAAAAAAAACCAGGAAGGAGGGGTCACTGCTTGGGGCCTGGCTAGGCATCAGCTGGTTGGTGGTAGACTACTGTTTTCATTTGCACCACTTGTCTTTCCAGGGTTTTATTTTCCTCTCTCTTTGGTCATTGATTTTTTTTTTTTTAAATTTTTCTTACAATTTCTTTTTAAAATTTATTTTGAATTATTAAACTGTTTTTATCTCAACCCACAAGTTTCTTTCTCACTTTTACTCTTATGATTGTCCCACGACAGGGGCAGTGGGACAGCAGCTGTGTCGTGCTTCGCTGCGAGCCAGGGTTAAACAACGACAGCTTCTCTCTGCCCACTGCTATTTTCATTGCAGTGGCATTGCTAAGTCTCTGGCATCTAACCTAGAAGCTGATCCTGTATTTCCCACTCTACTGAGATGAGACATGACAACACTTTTAAGTGCTGACTTCTTTTAAAGTTTGCCAAGTCTAAGCATCCAATTTAAATAACCACCCCCCTTAACTGAAGGGAGATTTTTAAGGATACAGTTAAACAAGCAATGGCCCTGTGGAGCACAAAGGAAAGTCTAGTGGAGCAGGTGATAAACTTGATCTTCTGAGGCTTGGAGGCTGCTCACCTCTCTGCATAGACAAGTCTGCTGCATGACCTCAGGCCAGCCACTGAAGTTTTCTGCACTCGGTTTTTGTTCCCAACTTTAATCTGGTCTAACTGGAATGGCGGCGGTGGCTCCATCCAGGCATTTCACGTATTCTACTCCCCACAGATTTCATCAGGGCCTACAGTCATCGCAGGCTGGAGGCAGGCTCATGCTGAGCCTTGCCCAGATCTCCTGGTTGCCCAGACCTCAGGACCTGCTGAGTGTCTGGGTGCTCCTTGCCCATCTGCACATCTGCAGTTAGGTACTACTACAACTAACAAAATTTAACACTCAAATCAGAAATTCACATACTGGCGGAAAACCCACTGGATTTAAGGCACAGACTTGTGAATTTCTATCTCTGCATATGTTTAGTAGTTTCAGTCAATGCAATTTTTTTACTTTTTTTTTTTTTTTTAAAGTCTTGCAGCCATAATTGTATTAGGAGGTACAATGGTTGTGTAATATAACTGTTTTACATACGCCCCAGAGCTCCCACAAAGAGCAGTAATTCCTGTTACTCTTTAACTAGCAAGAGTCTATGAAATGACCCATTCTAACAAAGGTCAGGAGCACGTCTGAGTTCTCCTCTAATGAATGCTAGGCTAATGGAGATCAAAAGGACCTGTTAGTAGGCCAAGCTCAGCAAGAGAGAAATAAGTTTAATTTCCATAATTACTGGGTAATTAATCAAATTGTCTGTACACAGAAACTGGAAGAGTGTGTGCATTTTTCTAGTCATGGGTATTTGCTGACTGCTTAGCGAATGCAGTTCATTCTGCATCCAGAACATCAGTCTGCCAATTTATTTTGCCAACGAGAAACTATACACTGGATCCAGTAATATGCACTGAAATTGTCACTAATTACCTAATTGTGTTCATTTCAAAGTACAATTCCACCACGTTGTGATGGAAGTTACAGGTTTCACCACACTACTTGCTACAAAACTTACAATTGAATTTCTCAAAAATTTCTGAGAAGCTTAAGTAATCTCTGAGAAACTTGTCAACTCACAGCAAGAAGGATTTATAGGGATCTACACAGGAGTACTACACTGCAGGGGCAAGGCAGGGGAGGAACCAGGCAGTATCTACAAAGTCACGCTCATAAACAGCCCATCTGTTCCAAGGCACTCACTTTGCAGGCCTAGTTACACATACACTACTCAAACCAATTGGAGTCAGCTGCAGGAGAAGAAGTCTTAGTAAAGGTTCTAGTGGCTGAAAGACTTTGGACTCTAGTAATGAACAGTCTTCCAATTCATGCAGATTGAGGGGAAAAAAAGGGACTGTACTGTAAAAATCATGTCCTAGTGTCCTAAACTACCTATTAAGCCTATATTATCTACTAGCTCTAGAAAACCCGTTGAAGTAAAGACTAAGACTTGACCTCCTTCTTCTTACTGAACAGTCATGGAACAAATTCTTGTTCCTGACAGTTGTTTGTAAGAAAAGCAAACGAACACAAAAAGCTTCACCAAAATATTATAATCTAAGGAAAATCATGTCTGGGTAAGAAGTGCAAGAGGAGGGACACCTCTGGGTATATTCTCTTTACTTTCATAAAGCTACTCCGATTAAGGGATAGTACTAGTGTTTTGCTTCATAGAATTCATCAATAAAGTCAAAGATAATTTGGTTTTACTGAAAAGCAAATGTGTTTTTCTAGAGCTTTCACAGAACAGCTTTGAACAAGAAGCCCATTTCAAGATAATTAGTTGGCATTCCTAACAGTCAAAAACAAAGTTTTTGTTGGAGGCTGGCTCTTTACATTTCTCATACAAGTTAATGGGATTTTTTTGAGAGAACTTGACAAACCTTTATGTCTGATTCAAGTAAAATAATGGCTGTATTATGACAGTATTAATGCATGTTCTGTTATATAGAATTGTAAAACACACTGTGCATTCCTACCTGGACAAATCATAAATACTGCAGCAGTACAGGGAAATGTTGCCAGAAGTACTCTACAATAAAAAGCGAAGGAAACAATACTTATCAGCAAACTATCTTTAAATATGCATGTATAAGTATATATTTATATTTTACACCTTAAAACACACACATATACCATCTTAAAATATACATTTATGTGTAATGGGGAAAAATTGTGAGAAATATTTTTAGTTTTAATTTACTGAGGTAATTCTCCTGATCTCCTCCAGAGAGGTTCTAGCCTATCAAGATACGCAACCGTCCAATTTTAAAATACATTCCCCTTACATTTCCTCAGGTGCCTCACTATCATAAGAAAAGAAGGCCAAAGTTGTAAGTTCAAATGAATAACTTCTCAGTCCAAAATTGCAACTCAGAGCTTCCTTTCAGACCTCTTCAGGAGAGGTGAAAGATTGCCAGTAAAACAGAGGCATAAAAGCAGAATGACTTGTTTGCTCAGTTATGCCTGCGTTGCATGATTAATGACACCAGATTATTTGACAATGCAGGAAACACACCTGGAACATTTTTCCTCCTGAAATCTCTGGGACTGGCTCCTCATAATAAGGCAGACTGTGTTCTGAAAAAAATTCCTTCAGTGCTTGCTCGCTGACTTCCACACCAACAACGTTGTGTCCCATGTCCGCCAGCCTGCACACAGAAGAGAGAAGTGCCAAGTTTACGTGAGGCCCACAGGTTGGGCCTTTACCAAAAGTGTATCTCTCACGCAGCATTTATTGACTAGGGAAACCATGGTTTTGGGATGCTCTGGCAAGTCTAATCCTGACTTTCTGGACCATTCACATTATATCGAACACCTCCCCTCCATGATCCGAGCTTAAATTAGCACCACTTGACATACAGTTCACAAGGATTTAGGGGCTTTATTTAATTTCAATGAACTAATTATTTATTTCTATGAACTGAATGAAAACAGGTGATCACACAGAGGAACTGTCCATTTCAGAAACGTGTTCTGCTCTGAACCGCAGCAGCTGAGGCGCGTTGTCCACCCAGCTGGCTCTGTGGCTTGGCAGGAACAGGCAGCGAGTTATGGTAACCTCTGCACTGCTGCAGCCCAGTGCAACAGCAAAATGTGTCAGAGCCTGCAGTCAGCCAGGAAAGTAGTTACTGTGATAAAATCTGGTAACTGGGACTAACTAGATTCCTTGAGGATGCAGTTCAGTCACAGTTTTTTGGTTTGTGCCACCCCCTCCAAGAAAAAATCACGGACTTATATAGGCCCTAATTACAAAATAACCTCCACCAAAAAAAAAAAAAAAAAAAAAAGGTAAAAAGAAAATAATAAATGTAAAAAAAGAGGAAGTTATATTTAGCCCAAAACATTTAAATTCCCAGCATGACATGCTACCTGGTCTCTTGAAAATGTGCTCTGGCACAACCAACCAATTTAAGCTGGCATTGCTACCAAAACGAGCAGTGGTAAGGACTTCAGTCACTCTGTCTGCCATAAATTCAGCATTTCCAAAGCTGAACTCGGGACAATGAGGAGGACTTTTAGGTTAATCCGTATCCATCCCATTTATGCTACTATGAAACCAAACTTCCTCCTCCCTTCAGCTTCCAGTGACGCTGTTTTCCTACCAGTGGAGATGCGGCACATTTCCATTGGCCAGTATAAGGTTGGGAATTCCCCCTCTCCCTCCCCATATCAAATGAGATCTTTGCTGTTATAATCTGTGTTTTACCATTTCATCTCTACTGCTTTACCACAAAGTGGGAAAAATATCCGCAGTCCACTTCTGCCATTTAAAAGAACATCCAGATACTTCTGGAGGAGCCTGCAGAAGAACAGACACGTTTTACTTAACTCTGCAAGTATTTGTGCTGACACATTAAAGACCAAGTGCTACACGCTGGGGCAGGTAGCACACAAACTGCATGACGGAGCACAGGTTTTTAGCTCAGCCTGCTTTGTGCCATTAGAAATAAAAACATAAAATAAAAACATTCACCTCCCATTCACTTAGATAGTAAATTTCATTTCTGTCAGAAAGTAACACATTTATGGTTGCTCTATTTTCTGTTTGTCTTTTCAAGTAAGCAGACCAACCTGCCCACCTCTAAGAGGGGCTTAACAGAGAGTTTAAACAGAATGATTATTGAACTTCTGTATCCATCAAGTCACTCCCACAGGACTTGAAAGACTACATAATCAAGTTTGCTTTCTTAGGTCCCTGCTTTCCAGTGCACAGTAGTTGCTTCGATGCCCTCTGCCTATGTTTCTCAGGCCTAGGTTTCACAACTTATGAAAAGCAGTGCAAAGCTTCTACATCAGAAAATTTCAGATTTTTAGCCAAGCTATCCAAGCTTTAAAGCCTGATTCAAGAGTAAAAGTTCTAAACCAATTTCGATACTTTCCTCTGTCCTTTTTTTTGACAATCGTAGGTCACAAAAATATGTATATTTATTTTAGTTTCAAGCTGTGCCCGTATAAAATAATTTTCCTTTTGCAAATGTTCCATTTTCAATTAGGAGTTTTTCAAATGAGCCAAGTCATTAATTTCACAGCATTTCTTAAAACAGCTTAGGCAGAAAAGCGAAGTCACGTACGGATGCCCTTGTTCCTTGTGAAACCCGATGTTACCCATTTCCCATTTTTGTAGCCATTCCTCCTCAGTCACCACTCTCTCTTTCTGTGACCCAATATCAGAGCCTTCCAGGAGACCGGATGCATCCGCTGAGTGGTCCATCGTCTCCAAGGAGTGCTAGTAGCTGTGAAAAATGAGAGAAAAATTATCCCCACCCAGAGCACGGTTTGGAATTGGCTCTTACTTCCCCGAATCGAACAAAAATTCAATGCATCTGAAAAGAGTACAGTTCGGCGACCATCGCAGTGTAGCTGTACAGAACACGACAGAGCACGCTCTTGCTACCGATGGCTTCAGGCAGACCCCGTTTCCCGGGGCGAAGCCGGCTGAGCGCGCCCTGTCCAGCACTACGGGATCGCCGGTAGGGCCTCTCCCTTGGCACCCATCTGGAAGCCCCCCCCTACCCCGGTAGGTGAGGAGGGAGGTGCCGACACTTCTCTCCCTCACGGGAAACCCGCGGGCAGACGGCAGGGGGGGCCGGCGGCTTGGGGCCGGGGGGTCCCGCCAGGTGACCCTTCGGGGCTCAGCACAGCCCCCCTCGGCGCCCCCTCAGCGTCCCCGGCCCGGCGGCAGCGGCGGTACCTGCTCGGCGGCGGCGGCTGCGGGTCCCGCGGGGCGGCGGGGCCGGGGCGGTGCCTCCCCGCCCTTCCCCTCGCTACGCACCGCGGAGAGCGGAAGCGGCGGCAGGAGGAGGCGGGCTGAGGGTGCACGGCACCGGGGAGGAGGAGGAGGATGGCGCTGGGGATGGCGGCGGCGGCGGCGGTGAGTGACTCCCTCCCTCAGCTGCAGCGCTCGCCGCGGCGCCGCCTGCCCCCTCCCCGGGGCGGCGGGGCAGGTGCGAGCGCTGCCCCCGCCCTCACCTCCCCGCTTCTCCCTTCCCTCCCCCTTCCCTCTTTCCCTCCCTCCCTCCCTTCCTTCCCTCTTCTCCACCCTTCTTCTCCCCGCTGCAGCTCTAGCAGGAGGCGGCGCGGACACGCGTGGATGTGGTCTCCGGGCCCCGAGCGACCCGAGGTGAGTGCCAGGCTCCGGCCGCAGCACCCGCCCCGCCGCCGGCCGGCACCCCCAGGGACCTCCCCGCCTGCCCCGGTGACAGCCCTGAGGGGACAGCCCTGCCCCGGGGACAGCCCTGCCCCGGGGCTCCGCTCGGGTCCCCGCTCCCACCGCCAGCTGTCACAGCGCAGCCCGGGGCGGGCGCTGTCACCCGTGGCCACGGGGCTGGGCGCCGGCGCTTTACGCGAGGCTGAGTTTTAGAGGTGTGCGCGCTTCGTGGTCCGCCCTGCCCGTGTTAATCGGGCTGCTCTCGCTTCCTCTCTCTCTCTGTCAACGTGTGTGTGTGTGTGGTTTCTTTTTTTTTTCTTTTTTTTTTTTTTTTTCCCCTCCTCTCCAAAGATAAACTTGCTGTCAACTGTGCAGGTAAACCCCACAAAGCTTCCGAGTATAGGCCATGCATTACAGATGGATGAAACGTTATCAAATGTGACAGTGTATTATGCATCTCTTCTCTCCTTTAAAAGGGCTTATTTTCTCTGCCGGTAAGGTAATGTCTGTAGGATAGGATGCAGAGTCACATAAATGTTAGTAGACTAAGTCACGTCTACTTGTTCTCTAAAAATTGGTGGTTTTTTTCTGGGGGGTGTTTGGTCTGTGAGAGGAAGTGGGGACAAAGTGGCATACAGCCTTAAGCCGATCTCTTTTTTTCTCCCTTTCTCCCCACCTTCTGCCTCCCCCTCCCGCGATTCTGTACAACTGACCTCTGCCTTTCAAAATGGGAGGCCTCTCAATGTGAAATATTTTTACCAAACCTACTAGTGACTGACAAATGCTATTTTTTCTGATCCCCTTATATGCAATGAAACGGCTGCATGTTATTTTACCTTCTTGGATAGAGGGCCTGGCAGCAGCAGCAGCAGCAGACTGTGATCACCTGCTGGCCACCAAAATGAGTCTCCTGGTGCCTCGCTCAGCGCTGAGGTGGTTTGTAGCTTCCAAATGTAAGGACAGTCATGTCGGAATAACTATCTACAGTCAGAAGCTAAGGTGATACAGAGAGATACTTTGTGTTACTGATCCAGAAGGGAAGCTTTAGGGGAAAAAAAGCCACCATTTTCTGGGGTGCTACACAGCAGTTTAGGGAAATGTCATGTAAATGAAACCAGTTGGTTTTCTTTTCTCCCCTCTCCAACCTGATCCACCCCTACAAAGTGGTAAGTTATGGTGAAGTGATGCCTTTTTTTTTCTTAGGTAAGAAAGGTTGATTTAATTCTTTTTTTTCTCCCTCTACTGAGTTATAATTGGAGGGAGTGTGTGCAAAAAAAAAAGTTTATTTTTATATTGGGTTGTCTGAACTTATTTTTTACTGATGTGAAATATATCTGCTTTACTTGGATATCATGTGATTTCTCTTCTTTCCCCAAATAATTTCTTCTATCTCAAGATGCGAATGAGGCACCAGTTTACTTGATTTACACCAGCTTAATTTGAAATTTTGTTAAAATTCCCATTTTCTCCTCCTGTTACCTTAACTTTGAGCAGAATTTCTGAACCAAGATACTGCTGCTGTGTCCATCACTAATAGCTTGAATAAGGAAAATGCAGCCTGGAAGAAGGAGAATTGAGAAGTATCATATATACATATATATATAAAAGAAACATAATTACAAACAGATCCCTATTACAACAAGATAACATTCAAGATTCAGTGCTGTTGTACAAGGGATTTATTTCCACTTCCTTTCTCTACGTGGTAGAGCACTCGTAGATTTAATTCTTCCCCTAGGCTCTCTTTATTTGTGCTTTACTCCCTGTGAAAAGAATGCCTTTGATACTACCATTTTAAATATGCTTTCATATTTCTGCTGCATACTTTCTCACACTCCATGCTTTCCAGTTTATGTGGTAAACTGTAATCTTTTCTGCGTTCCTACCAGTGCAGTCAAAGACAGCCACAGAGCCCTCTCATGCCATTAATCTTTTATTTTCTCCTATAGCACACATTCCAGTCACCTAAAATTTCAATGCAGCTCCAGTTTAGACTTTAAATTCTGATGTACTTTCATAGGAGGTACTTGCACTTCATGTGCAAGTCTTGGAACTGGTTGTTCCTCTGGTATTAAACAACTCTTCAGCACACTGTTTGGAAAAGCACTTTAGAGTGCAAATCTCTTGCTACCAATAAATCAGTAGTTAGCAGGACAAGTGTTGCTCTGAGCGGTGTTTGAATGCTCGCATCGGCATTGAAGGGATGTCTCTTTGCTTTGGCAACCCAAATTCCAGTCCAGGTCTTCACGTAATGCAAATCAGATTATTGAAATCCAGGATATGCTGATCTGGGACAGCCTGTCAGGATGAACTCACGGATCTAATCTTAACTCTGAATTTAGTTTAAAATAGTAGTATTGTTCCTTTCCCCTAATGCCTCATTCTCATTTTCTTCCTGAATTAATAGTCAAGCTGAACAGATTCTTACCTAGATAACTCTGTCAAAAGTAGTGTTATAAGTGAACGTACTGCCCAGGTGATTAGACAGCTCTTCAAAGGCAAGCAATTTAATCTTTTTTATTAACTACTGCCTTCCTTTTTTTCAGATCTAACAATACAATGTCAACTGGAAGGGTACGAACGAAAAAAAAGGCATGTTCTTCAGATCAATCTCCAGACAGCCTTCCTGTGAGGAGTTCTGGAAGACAGGTATTTATAATAATTAAAAAACACGTGGGTTTGTCCTTTGCTATTTTTTATTTTCTATTGACATTCATAAAGAAAGCAGGCTTCATTGTGGGTAAGTTAGGCCTTAGAGTACTTACCCACAGAAAAGGAGAATGAGGTAATTCTGTGAATAAGCAGGCAAAGTGTCTCATTTTGTGAAAGATATTCAGAAAAGATAAATACTCAGTATAACCTTTTAATACTTAATGTGTTAAAAATACAATCACAGATTTCTGTACAGTCAGAAAAAGCTGTCTGGTCATCCAGACAGAGGCCTAAAACAACATAATACACCGTACCTTTAAGGCCCAGAAGAGACATCTGGTACACAGTTTTGTGTCAAAAAAATGCCCTAAGCCTACTATAATATTTTATTTGAGGCGCAGATAGGGTTGCCACTAATTAATATCAATAAACATGCAAAGAGGAGATTTTCTGAAGGAGAAATAGAATTAATGCATTAGGCTTGACTCATTAGCATGTGATGGAGCTTAAAATACAATTTAAACTGGAATTTTTTGCTTATAATTTCTTCAATGGCATCAATTAGACTAAGGCAAGACATTTTTAGCTTTAAATGATATTTCCAGTCTTACTGTGGGTTTGTGGCTTGCTTTTTTGTGGGGTGGTTTGTTTTTTGTTTTTTGTTTTTGTTTTTTTGGTAGGAAAAAACTGACCTAATTTGACAACTGTTTCATGCTGCAGCTATTTCACAATGGGTACAAAGATTTTCATTAGTATAATTTTAACTGTTGGATGCCACTCACGAGCTGAAAAACTGTCTGAACACCACTTTGTAGAAGATGTATTTGTGTAATTTCTGGTCAGATTTCAGCTATTCTTTATTAGGTGAAGAAGAAAGCGGCTGAAGCAGCAGCAGACGATGATGATGAAGCGTCAGAGAAGAAATATAGAAAGTGTGAAAAAGCTGGATGCACTGCAACATGTCCTGTTTGCTTTGCCAGTGCAGCTGAAAGGTTTATTTCTTTTTACTTGCATTTTTCATGGACTTTCTAAACTTGCAGCTGAAGTTCAGGATTCTAACTATATTCTGAAAAATTCCTTCATTTCTAAATGTAGAAGGAGAACTGAAAGATACTATTAACAGGAGTCTTAAGATAACAGGAAAGTGTTACAAGTTATTCCTGTTGTGAATGACTTTCTACTGGGCAAGTTGCTAATTCAGATATAGAATATCTTTAGGACATGCTTATTTACGTTATTAATGGTGTCTTCTGGAACATGCCTTGCTTTTGTGAAAGCGAGAGCATTAGTGCAATCTGAGGAAGCTAAACTTGCTTTCAAGATGGAAAATGAAACTGTCATTTACTGCAGAAAGTCTTAACCACTTATTTTGTTGGAATGCTTTGCAGTCTGAGGTGAGATTCTGGTCTTGAAATTTTAGGTCTTGGGAGAGACAGTCATATTTATGTGAACATTTTGTTCTCGATCTGTGGCTTTCTGTGTACTTGCACAAGTGCTTTTGCATTGCGACCCTGGCGGTTTTGAGTGCATGATACCAGCAAGGTGTATCTCTAATAGGCGATGTGTTAGACATCATTATACACTACACAGACTGTAATTATGTAGCACTCCTCCCTCTCTGGTTAATTGAGACAAACTTTCCTTCTTTACAGCATTGGAAAATAAATGAAACTATTTTGGTGCTTCATTTAGATATATACATGTGCTGTTCTTTGGTGGCAGAAGGTCCACGTATTCTGGATGTTGTCAGAGGGAAGCCAAGTGCTCTGGCAGTTGCGTAAGAGAGTAGCCAGGAAGTGAGCACCTGGTGATATTACTGTTTTTGTTTAGGAAACAATAGATACTGCTTACTCATCTTTCTGAATTGTTGTTTTAATATTTTGATTTTCACCCCTCCCACCCCCCCCAAGTACATACTTTCAACGGTTTTTATTTGAGATGAGATCACTTCGTGGATGTTTCAGTTAGTAGCTTAGGTCACTGCTTTTTAGCTCGTGCATTTATCTTGAACCATTTCATTGGGTTTCCTGAGAGCTTTCTGAGCAAAGAACAGTTACTTTGTCTGATGAATATAACATTTGTAATGGATATTTCCTTTTGAGAGTAATACACAACAAATGCCCAGAATGTGTAACTCCTTCCTCAGGGTTTTCTCTCACTGGGTTAAAATCACAGCTCAGTCATGAGAAAATAATAGGCAACATCTGTTCTGTGTTCAGATTTCACTTTATGGTTTTGTCAGTTGTTCTGGGGACAGAACGTTGTAATGACTTATCAATCAGCTGATCACATGTACAAGAAAAATGCTAATTTAAATGATCCCTCCCACCCCTGCACTAATATTGGAACTAAATGGAACAAAGTAAAGGAACTGTAAGTTCTTGTGAGAGGGCCTTTGTCGTCTTACACGTTTGCAAAACACTTTGTGTGTCACAGCACATATCTAGTCTAAGAGCAAATACATTTCATGTTCAGGAAATGCCTGCTTAAAGGCTACTAAAGACAGGCTCAGCTGACCATTGTTAGAGAGAGGCTGCTGGAAGCCAGGCCAACTATAAAACTGCACATTGTGTACACGTTGCCTCCTTTGCATCTGGTGTTGCTTAGTTTGGAAACTGGAAATGTTTGAGACAATTGAAGTGACCTTATTGTTATTTGTATGACTGCAGTGCTTAATGCAAGTCAGCCTTCATGAATGTAACATAAAGCCCTGGCTTATTTTGAATATTTTGTTCATGTTCTAGAATGTGCTACTGCCAATAGATTTTTTTTTTTTCCTAAATGTATTGTAAAGCTATTTTTATGTCTCCTGCATTACAGATGTGCTAAAAATGGGTATACATCTAGATGGTATCATCTTTCCTGTGGGGAACACTTCTGCAATGAATGTTTTGACCACTATTACCGAAGGTAGATTTGCCAATTCAGGTCATATCTTTTCAGAGCTTATTAAAATTGAAACATCATGTACATAAATATAATGGAAAGACTTGTCTTCTGTGCTTGCTTTAGTCAGAGGGAGGCTTAGATACTGGTGCTGAAGCTGCAGGTATTGTATGGACTAATCAACTGAAACAGAGCAGCGTGAACAAAACTGGTTGGTTTAGACAGGCTGGTTTGTATGTGCAGTTGTTCTGAAGCTTTCGTCTTTTTCAAAAACAATGTCAGAAAATATTAAATTATGAGAACAGTATTAAGTAAATCTATTTTCCTTTATAAGGCAAACTAACTTTACAATGTGAGTTCAGGAGACCTTGCCCCTGTGTAACATCAAATCAGTAAGGAGATTTAACTCTTGCAGTCCAGTGACCAGGAAGAATCCTGTCAGGCTCACAGAGTGCTTTCAGCTTCAAGCTCCTTCCCGTCTGAGTGGGAGTTACATCCATCTCTACTAAGATTTTTGTGTGCTTATGTGCTCAGCAGTGCCCATCGCTCAGTCCAGGCCTTAGATACAAGAAAGAGGACATAATGGTCAGGATGCAATTTATTGCTGTCTTAAGAACCATGACTTTCTCATTTTTTAAGCAGGAAAAATACAGTATTTTCTATAGCCTTATTTCTCTGTCCTTTTTAAAATGTTCAATTTTAGAATAACTGCTATTGCTTGAAGTGAACTAGACATTCAATTTTCTGACTGCTTGCTGTTTTCTTTTCTCTTAGCCATAAAGATGGTTATGAGAAATACACTGCCTGGAAAAGGATTTGGACAAGTAATGGTAAAAGTGAGCCCAGCCCAAAAGCCTTTATGGCTGATCAACAGCTTCCTTACTGGGTAAGATACAAGGTGATTTATTTAATAAGAATGTGATGTTCTGATGTGTTTCTGTTATTCTGCTGTTCAACCAGCAGGTCAGCTGAATTTTTATGGGCGTTTTTTTTCTAGTATTAGAGGACCGTGGAAAAGCTCAAGGTAATAATTCTGATCAGCTCCTCCATTGTTGGAGGCTTTCCCCACACCTCACGAAGACCTTTCTGTTACTTTTCTGTGAAGTAGCAGACACGATGTGTGATGTTCAGGTAGAATAACATTTGGCAGAGAAAGGGAGCATACCAGCTCTGGGAAAGTATGAGTGTGAAAGACTTCAAAACCAGATTTTGTGTTTCCTGGGTAGAAGGAGCAGTAGAAGACGGATGGGAATGGAAGGAAGTTTGGTGATAGTGGTATTTTATTTATTTTATTGTTTGGTTGTTTTTTTCTTTAGGTGGTGAAGAATATGTTTTTGAAGTAATGTTTGCAAAGTCCACTGAAAACCATAGTAATTGGGCATTGAATCAGTTTTGGCCTTAGGTTTTATGCAGAAATTCAGTCTTGCAGGAGATGGGCACAAGATTTCTGTATATCAAATGCTTTGCTTATGACCTGATGATTACAGGAGAGTGAATTTAACAATTATGTCTGACAACTTTCTCACGTCTCACTTCTTCCTAACTGGTTATTTAAGTTGCAGTAATCTTATCTGTAATCAGACAGCAACAAGTAAAAACATGTTTGTTTCTTGACTTGTAGGTGCAGTGCACAAAGCCAGACTGTGGTAAATGGCGTCAGCTGACAAAGGAAATCCAGCTGACACCACAAATTGCAAAAACATACAGATGTGGTATGAAACTGAACAATTCCACCAAGGTAACACGGAACAGTTTTGCTCATATTGAAACTCAACAAGTTGGTATTTCTTGTTTGCAGAAATTAGTTTCTTCTTGTTTGCTGCTTAATGTCTCTAATGTCAAAATGATACTCTGATGGCCTGGAGAGCTGCACAGTGACAGGCCTACATGCTGTTTGGACTTTTCTGACTGGAAATGTCAAGAAAAAAGTATCTGAAATATCTTTGTCTGCATAGTTAATTGTAAAATCCTTCATTCTGAAGCTATGGAAAGATTATCAGCATGTACAAAATAGACATACACCAAAATGTTCATTTCAGTTTCTTCATTATTGAGGAAAGCATTTGAAAAGCTCAGTGAGCTTTTCTTAATTTCTATCAAGTCTGTCATGGGCTTTACATGAAAAGTTTCAGCTCTGTCATGAAGGTAACTCCTGAAATTTGAAGTAGTCTTTAAAGTCCTTAAAGGGCCATAGAATCTATATGGCACTTATAACATGAAAAAGCATAACCTGAAAAAACTGAAGGGTCAGCATTTAGTCTTGGAACTCTGTGATACTCTTAAAATAAATGAGAAACTCTCTTTTATAGTCTGTACTGGAAGAGTCACTTTGGAAAATGTGGGGTATTTTAAGAATTTTTCTATAATAGTCTGTATTTTTTTTCTTAATGTGTTTCAGCGTTCCACCCCATTTTATGGAATAGAATGTATATTTTAATGTCTGATCAGTAGAATCTAACTTCAAAAATGAGACACATTTTCTTGGGTGCTTTTGCTTTATGGTGTGTTGTATTTTTAACCCATGTGTTTCTCTACTATTTTTTGGTTTATAATCAGCTCTGCTACTGTCAGTCAGAAGACTGACACTAACACTTTTTAGTTTTAAAAACTCTGCCATAGAAAATGACTTTGCTTTATGTTTAATTTTCGCTATGCAGCTTAAGAAAAGCTCTGATACCATTCACTTTTCTTTCAGACTGAGGGCTCAGACCAGTGTTCCATGCCTGAGGACTTGGTGAGTAGGGGTTTTCCTCCTCATCTGTCTTAGAATACAAAATCAATCCTATAGCACAGCACATTTCTTTCCTTTTTCTTTTTTTTTTTTTTTTTTTTTTTTTTTTTTTTTTTTTTTTTTTTTTTTTTTTTTTTTTTTTTTTATCCTTGGCCAATTTTGTCAGTATTTATGCATTTTGCTCAGGAAACTACCAGATGCTATTTGCAACAGAGCCTAGGGCCTTCCACTTTCTCATCTTTTTCCTTACCATACCAACTAGCTTTCAAGTGGTTCGTGGTGTCTTTGAGTGGTGGCCTGTGATTCAAGGTTTACTCCTAATTCTCATTTTTGATCAGGCAGAACAGTTGCCAGCTTTCAAATAAAATTCCTCATCCTAAAATTTCCTTGTCTTTCAGGTGCTTTCTATCTTTAGTCAAGCTAGTCTCCTCTTTTTTGAAGACTGCAAGAGAACATCTAAACATGTTTTCTCTCTCCTCTCCCTCATAATACAAAATGTACATACACGATGTATGTTGGTGTTTCAAGGGGATCACGTAACCCTGCATTTCAGATTTCGTGTGATCTGATGTTCAATAAGCTAATATTGACAAGTGTACCTGAGGTACCTCTATCCCAGGGAACACATTCAGGCTTATTGTTGACTCTTGGAGAAGCTTTGTGGCTTTGTTTCCTTAATGCATGTTTACTTGTAAATTAAGGCTGAATCATTAGCATTTCTTAGGCTTTTAAAAGGTCTTTGGTGGGGGTAGGAGAATCTAAATTAAATTGATCAGTTTAGTGCAGACTTTTCTACGTTCAGATTTCTGGATGCATAAATGACTGCAAATGTTTTACAAAAGGCATAAGGCATAGATGTGTTACGGCATGTCTCATCTGTTTTGCTTTCCACGTGGTTGTGGAGTTTTGTGCAGTTTCAGCTCCGTTTCTGAGGAAGAGATCAATACTAGAGGTTTTCTGTGTCAGGCTGAGGAAGGGGAAAGAGGGAGAGAAAATGTCTTTATGACTTACAATTCTGAGATTGGTACTTCTACTGCTTTTTGATCTCAGTTTTGGAGGGAGGGGGGCGAATGGTTCATTTTCCAACGTTTTCAAAGTACTGACGTGTTCTCTTCTCCCCTCTTTCCTTCACTTCTCCGCTTGGCCAGAGAGTGGCTGAAGTTTCAGACCATTGGTGGTACTCCATGCTCATACTCCCTCCTTTGCTGAAAGACAGTGTGGCAGCTCCCTTTCTAGCTGCATATTATCCAGACTGCGTGGGCATGAGTCCATCCTGTACCAGCACTAATCGGTTACCTGGGGAATCCAACCTTGTGAAGTTAGAGCACTTAAAGAGCGTGCCTAATTTGACTGGTAAGGGCCATCTGCAGGGCTCTGTTGCTTAAATAGGTGTGATAAATTTTGCCATATAGCTGAGTTCATAAGGCACATAATTCTCCTGATTCGGAATACCTGGTCTATTCTTGGCACTAACACACACACTCTGTGTGATTCCCTCTGTACTCCTTTGATGCCATTTACTAATTTCTTAGATAAAGGTAATACATTTCCTATGGCATTTCTTTAGGGAGGAAGCATAGACTGCATAGTCTTTTTGTGTACCACCTGTAATTTGTTTATGGAAACAGGAAATTAACATGTGAGTACTTAAAGACTGTTTGCATTCTGAAGGAAATGAAGATGTATGAAAAAAAACCCCAGGATTCTGCTAGTTTTGATATTGTGGATCTGTGGGGCTTTGGAAAAAGGGATTTGATTTCTTAAGGCACTCAGATCCTGTTTAGGTTATTGTTTTTTTGCTAGTGACAGCTCTAAGAGCAACAACTTGGGAGTGCAGATTTGCAGAATAGGTCAGGCAAGGAGAAAGGTAATTCAGGATTCCCATACTCATCTCGAGAGAGTTCTTTGAGAGAAGTTCAGATTCTGAATTGTCTTAGCAGGCTTTGCTCTCCTTAGGGCCTGAAAATAAATCTGTTCATCTGTTCAACAGATATTTATCTGCTTAGCAGAAAACATTTTACAGAGCTACCAAAAGCTGCACGTGGAAGATGATTACTTTTAGTTACTAACCACTCTGGGCAGTATTGGGAGTTGAAGAAATGAGTTCAGAGTGCTGCCTGAGCCTGCACAGCGATGTTAGACCTCAGACTTGAATTTAGGTCCTATTCCTTGTTGGACTCCTCTTGGCATCGGAGCTCACACACTGTTTCTCTGACAAAACAGCTCTGATAGGTCCAAGGTGTAGCCGTCAGGCATCAGGACAATAATTAGTGCTGCACAGCCTAGAGGGCAGGAGGGAGAAGAGCAGTAGAAATGAAATCACTGGAGGTGGCTAGAGACTGGAAAGCCTCCCTACTTGTTTATCTGCTTGAGGTCAGTAGATCATCTTAGAGGGAAAAGGACATAACGAAGACATGACTAGAGCCTGGTGTGTCTTTATTCAGTTGCAGGCATGAACAAGTATTTCCAGCCTTTTTACCAACCCAACGAATGCGGGAAAGCACTTTGTGTGAGGCCGGATGTCATGGAACTGGATGAGCTCTATGAGTTCCCAGAATATTCACGAGACCCTACCATGTACCTGGCACTGAGAAACTTGATTTTGGCTCTGTGGTACACAAACTGCAAGGTAAGAGATGCTGATGGTTAATTTGTTTGTTTAAAAATAATAGCAACTCTGCTGGGATGTGAACTCTCTTCTTAGGGATGGAACTCTCTTCTTAGATGTCTCTTCGTGCACCAGAAAAATTGCTCCCATGTTTTTGAGAATCCATGATAAGATTGGCTGTTTTCTGGGGGAGTTTGGGGTTGAGGTGGTTTTTTTTGGTTGATTGGTTTGTTTGTTTGGTTTTTTTTTTTTAGATTTAATGCATAGAAGATTCTTTTGCTGTTAAATACCAAAGTTTTTGAAGTATTAAAACTCTACTGTGAATGCCCAGCTGTCTAACTTTTTAAAGGGATGCTTAAGCACTTCTAAATAGTGTTTGTGGATGCTTTATGATTTTTTTTCCCACCTGACTGTTGGACAGGTGATTGTCTTTTTACTTAGGCTAATTCTATGACATGGTCTTCAGTAGGACTGCTGAAGTTTCACATACCATAGCTTTCTGATATGGATGTCTGCATTTATGTGAAGGTTTTGGATATTAATCTATTTTTTACTTGGAATTTACTTGCCATTTTGGAATGGATTTTACTGGAGTGCCATTGTGAGCGTTGCCAACAGGAATCCATTTCAATACCATTCCTGCACTAATGAAACACACCATGGAGTTTGTGGGAGTATCTTGTAGACTCATTTGTTTTTATTCCATGTTAATCTCAGTAAATTGTTACCTTACTGTGTAAAGCAGGCTAGCAAGAAATTTCCAGATTCTGAAATCCTCTCAGAAGCCTGAATTGTGATTTTTTTTTACCACGTTTTAGAGTTTAAATATGATGTAACCACATGATAAAATGGAATATTAGAAAATCAGCATTTTTCTACTCTTTGTTTCTCCTTTGCAGGAGGCTCTCACCCCTCAAAAATGTATCCATCACATCATTGTTCGGGGGCTCGTGCGTATTCGCTGTGTGCAGGAAATGGAGAGGATACTTTATTTTATGACAAGGAAAGGGCTAATCAATACAGGGCTTCTGTCAGTCAGTTCTGACCAGTACCTTCTTCCTAAGGAATACCACAATGTAAGTTGCTGTAATAATCCCTACATTATTAATGTTATAAAACTATATGGCAGATATAATATATATTTTTTTTTTTGTTCTGGATTTTTTTCTCATTTGCCTAAAAGGCTGGAATGATAAGCAAAATTACATCTAAAAAGTAACACGTGGCAAGTTTTTCACATTGTTCCCATGTGCCTTCAGTGGCAGTTTGGTTGACAGCACCCAAAACTTATCAAATGAATACATTCTGTAATGGAATACCTTCCAGAAATTCTAAGTTGATTACATTTAGAAAGTGTATTTGTATATGGTTTTAATTTATAAGATAGTTTTTACTGGTCAACCCAATCTAAGATTGAAATCATTACAAGGTAAGTGTGATTCTTGTCTGTTGACTTCAGTTAGATTTTGCTGCTTTTGTTACTGATAACTTCATCTGTTTCTCCTAAGAGAAATGGAGGCATCTTCTTTTGAAGGCCTTAAAAACGTTTACCTATTTTCAAAGCTACCACTGATCTTTTTTCTATATTAAATGTGCTGTCATCTTTAGAAGTTATCACGGATTACTTCAGAGGACAAGAGAGCCTAGACTTCTGGAACCTACAGATATTTTTAGTGCATGCAAAAAGAGAAATGAGAATGAAATGATAATTTCTATTTTACTTCTAACTATTTTTACTTATTTAAATATTTTAATGTTTTTTAGAAATCTGTCATTATTGTTGGGGCTGGTGCAGCAGGATTAGCAGCAGCCCGACAACTGCACAACTTTGGAATTAAGGTAAGAAGCTTTAGAGTACATGACTTAAAAAAATCAGACTTCCTCTGCTTTTAAAGTGTTCTTCATCAAAATGAAAAATCTCTTACAGTCTTGTTACAAACATGTATGTATAGGGCATCTTAATTAATTTATAAAATCTGGGGGTTTGCTGAGTAAATCTGATGCTTAAAAACATCATTTATTTGTATCTACAATTCAACAAAGCATGCAGCATATATTTTATAGAGACACTGCACCCAGATAATTGTGTTTAATAGTCTTTAGCATGACTTAAGCTCCAATTTTGAGATTTCCTGAATAGGTCTTTAGCTTTTTTAAAAAGTAAGGGTTGTTTCTAAAGTGACAGATGTACACTGTATGTGTATATCCCAAAGAGTAACCCTTAAAAGATAATTTAAATGCATAAATTAACTACAAAGGATCCACAAATAAAAATAAAGTGTTAAGATTGCTAGCACTGCTGGTGTTTTTCTGTGTTTTGTTTTCTCCTTTTGCTCTGGAGTTGAACAGATATGTTTGATATAATTAAATATTACAATTTACAAAGCTGCATTTTGCCATAGGTCATTGTCTTAGAAGCTAAAGACAGAATCGGTGGCCGAGTGTGGGATGATAAGACGTTCACGGGAGTCACTGTTGGAAGAGGTGCACAAATCGTCAATGGATGTGTCAACAACCCAGTGGCACTAATGTGTGAGCAAGTGGGTTCCCTGCAGTGGTCATACGTTATCACTAGTGAAAAACTGTTGTTAAAGCCAGGTTCAGGTGGCTGGGTAAGGGTGGGAGTCCTTTTTTGTGATGTGATTTAAACACCGGTCCTGCCTTGTAAGTGAACTCCACGTTGCTGTTAAAGCTTTGATAACAGCTGGGAATGGAGGAGGGCTGTAGAGTGGTTTCAAGCACATTATGTAAAGTAAAGCAAGGTGGCACCAGCTCCAGAACCACTTTTTTCCACTTTTCTCCAGATATAATGTTAAAGGACCCCAGCAGAGTTCCTTAGGGCTGAGAAAGGCTTTACTGTGGGAGGCCATTGCTTCTGTGACAGACTTGCCTTTGCTGTGCCTTGACATTCCTAGCTGAATTCCACGCAAGTTAAGATTAATATGCCTAACAACTATTGATGCAAACATGCTGCAGTTCAATTTCTTTAAAAGTTGTTATTATTTGCTGGTTTGGTTTAGGTTTTTTCGAGGCAGGCAGCTGAATTTCTCCAAGCGGAACCTGAGCATGGACTTTGTTCAGAGATGCGTGCGAATCCAGCCCGTGCCATTCTGAATGCTTAGTGCTCTGTAGAGTGTCATGAGGAAACTTTTATTTTTTAAAAAAATCATGTTTTATTTATTAGGTGAGGAACAATGACTTCTGTAATACACTTTGAGCACTCCTCCCTTTGTGATCATTTGACTTCCTCTTTCATTGGAAGTACAACTGTATCTTGAGGTCTGCAGGGGTGACCAACAGCCTAGAGAGACGTGAGGATTTGTGACAGACACTGGAGCACGCCCTAAATAACAAGGCACTAGGAAGAAATTAGCACTGTGTTTGAGCTATTTTCTCCGGACCGACTCTGTAGAACAAAAAAATGTCTTTATTCTGATTTAGCTCTGTTGTGTTTGATGCAAGTTGGACAAGCAAGGCAAGGTATTAGACTTAATTCCAAATAATTTCTTTCTTTGCTTGGTTGTTAATAAAATTGGTGGTAACTGGCAAGCAGTATCCTGTCAGTTCCTGAATTCAGGGAACTGTTTAGGGCTCAGGCACCAGGAAGTTGTAGAAAGGAACTTACTTTAACTGTGATTTAGACAATAAATTGAGGTAGAAGTAAAGGAGACTGGTTCATCATGTTTGATTACCACACTTTGCATCTCTGTACTAGCCCCTAGCCTGATAGCAAAGTTGGAGAGGAAGTTTCCATGAATCCCCAATAAGGAAAAGGGTGCAAAAGTGGGAGAAAATGATTTGTGAACAATTAACAGACAGAAGGATTCTTGGTGTTCCAGTTTTAGGAAAACAAGAGTTAATCTGACTGTTTAAAGTTGCAGAAGTGTTTTAAGTGGTATCACTTAAGTCTGAGGGATTCATCTTACTTTAAACAACTTTGAGCAGGATAGGCACTGTAGTTTTTCCATCCTTAAAAAAAGCAATCAAATGTCTTTTTCTTAAGCTTGGCATTAAAATGCACAAACTAGGGGAGAAATGTGACTTGATCCAGGAAGGCGGAAGGATAACAGATCCCACTATTGATAAACGCATGGACTTTCATTTCAATGCCATCCTAGATGTCGTCTCTGAGTGGAGAAAAGATAAAACCCAACATCAAGACGTTCCTCTTGGTGGTAAGTGGGGGATGTACTGCAAAGTGAAGATGTTGGCTGAGTTCATAGTTTTTATATTAAACTGACTCTTACATCAGACATTTTTAAAAGTGCATATCTGACCTTAAGTCCAACCGAGGCTTCTCAGTAGTATCTTGTTTTCATGATGGAGCTTTTTCAATACAGCTAGAGGCACTAGCAGTTCTGGCTGAAGCAGGCCATAGCTAGCTGTAAATCTTATACATTTTGACTAATCTGCCTAAAAAAGAGCCTGATCAAAGCCTTCTGCTGGCAAAAATAGTCCCATCTCCATTGGTAACGCCTCCCACCACACTTCCAGCGTGCAGGCTCATCAGCAAAAAATAAACTTGCTCAGAAATGTTTGCCTCCCAAACGTCTTCAGCATGGATTCTGTAAGGCAGAATTAGCAACTCCTATGTTCTTCAGTGAATTCTGGATCCAATTTCTCAGCTCTTTTGATTCTGTAAAAAATTATCAGGATTTATTTGCAAGTATCCTCCATTATCATAAAGTGTATTTTACCTGAAATATCTTAACTGTATATTGATGGTAGCTAAGCAGTTAATTTCTCTTGATCTCATCTGGCTAGCTCAGCTGTGCTGTTGCACAGCATGTTTAGTTTTCTCTTTTTTCTCAGTAATTTTAACCTCTATTTTTCCTGAAGCTATGTATTCTTGAACAAGATTCTACTAGGGAAACTTGTGATTAAACAACAAAGTTGTACTTTATCACTGGAAAGATCTCGTGGGTGGTGTTTTTTTGTTGTTTGTTTTTTGGTTTTGCTTTGTTTCTTTTTTATTTATTTATTTCTGCAGGAAGAAAAACATTTTTGTACAAATTAGCAATAAGCTTGAAAATCCTGCGATCTAGAGAATAGCGTGTTGAAATGCAGGAGGACTTATTGTGATATATTCTTATTTTAAACATGTTCTTTCACAGAAAAAATACAAGAGATCTATAAAGCCTTTATCCAGGAGTCTGGTATCCAGTTCAGTGAGCTGGAAGAAAAAGTACTACAGTTCCATCTCAGTAATTTGGAGTATGCCTGTGGCAGCAATCTATCTCAGGTGAGCTTTGACAGCTGTGATCTGAAGCTCCATGGAAAATGGGGTTGGAAGTAACACTGAGAAGTCACCTGATCCATTCCATGGCCCCAGAGGAAGGATCAGCTATCCCTACTGTTCCCACATCCCTAACCTGTTCCTTAAAAGCACTAAGACACCAACTCCAGTACTGCCTTAGGTAATCTGATGGGAGTTCTTGATGTGCTTCCAGCAGGTTTCTCTTTAATGCTGAAGTGGAGAGTAGATGGTTAGTAGAGAGCAGGGCATTTTGCCGAGGTGCTGGGTGGTAAATTCACAGGAGAGTTACTCCTCCTCAGATGTTGTGTGTGACTTCTGCTTCTCAGTTCTGTGTTTAAAAACTTAGGTATTTCTCTACCCTGCTAGGTATCTTGAGAATAAATGCATTTAACTCCTGAAGTGTTCCAACACCCCAATGGTGGGCCCCAGTTCTCCACTCCTAGGTATTCTGTTGGCTATGTGATCCTTGGCTCTCCTCGTGACTTCACTTTAAACCAAGCAGGTTCAGGAAATACCGAAGTATGACGTTGTTTGCAGTGCATTATTTACTCTGTGCTTTTTGCCACATTTAAAGATATTTAGGGTCAATTGTACTGTGGCAGTGGGACAGCTGATTGATACGTACAGATGCACAATCTGATCTGAACTGAGAAGCCCCTAAGAACCTAACAAAAATCTGCAAGACAGCGCTGTACCACGGCAGTCAGTGGAAAATATTTTGATGTGTCGAGTTTTAATACTCCACGAGCACTCAGGGGAAATAAGAAAGATCTAATCTTACCTTTAATTTTAAAATTAAAATATGGAGTAAATGCAACTGCAGCGATAGGAACTGGCATTTGGGAATTGCTTCAGACTTTTCGCTGCTAAGTGGTAATAGCTTAGTGCAAATTCCACTGTTTCACTACCTGTAAGTTTGCAGGGGCTGGGGGAGAAGGCCAATGAAAGCTATCATGGAGGAACCTCCAAAGTGACAGAAAAATTCCACTGAGGTTTTTTTTGTGTCTTATTTTTCACTTCATGTTCGGAAATAAGGTATTTCCATTTTTATGTGAAGTCCTAAGGCTGTAAAATCTGATTTCTTTGCTAGATACAGACAACTGAAATAAATACACTGCCATCCACCTGGATTATCGTACAACTTTCCTTGTTTTTCTCTTCCAAGCAGAACTATAAACTACCTGCTAGTGAGCAACCCATGTTATGACTGCTCTTAATCCAGCAATTCATACGTTGTATAGTAGCACTAGGTAAACAAGCAATTTGATTTTGTCAGCCTTGCCATAAATTCTGGTGATGCACTTCTTCTCCCACTTGCAAAGGGGACTTTTGCTGGTACCCATGTCCCCTTGCCAGTAGCAACAGTTAGTTATGTTCTGTTCACAGGTATCTGCACGCTCATGGGACCACAATGAATTTTTCGCCCAGTTTGCTGGAGATCACACTCTTCTAACTGTGGGATATTCAACTCTGATTGAGAAGCTGGCAGAAGGGCTGGACATCCGGCTGAATTTCCCAGTGAGTCTGGAAGCAGAGCCTGTCTTGAATTGCTTTTAAGCACCCAGTCATATCTAGGTATTCTTTTGGACCAGGCAAATCTGGGCCTGTGATTATGTCAACTTGTCTTCGAAAAAAAAAAAAAAAAGAGGACGATTTCCATGTTTCTGGAAATTCTCTTAGAGGACTGTCAGTACTTAAATACTATGATACGATGATCTTATATGTTAGAATTGTGATGATTTTTCTTTTTCAGCTTCCATGGAGGATATTTTTTGTCTTTCAGTATTTCTCTGGAAATACTGGAAGTTTCTCACTTTCTAGTTTGCACATTGGTGCTGTATTAGCTATTCTTGTTGGAATTTGCATTGCATGTTGTACATTTTGTAGTATAATCTTTCTGTTTGTCTTTCAATAGGTACAGAGTATTGACTATTCTGGTGAAGAAGTGCATGTCACTACTGCAGACAGAACAGTGTGGACAACACAAAAGGTATCCAATATGTTTCGAGATAAAGGATTTTAGGGAATACACAGTACATGTCCTTTTTGTCTTTTTTTTTTTTTTCCCCTCTCAGAAGACTATTTAGTCCAGTTTGTCCCCACTCAAAGATGAATACTCATGTATTCTTGTGACCTGTTTTTGGGTGTCCTAGAGCCTAATTTTTGGTGAGCATGCTTGAGGTTTTTGAGTAGAAGCTGATTTGCAGAATTAAGTACTATAAAGTTATACTAAAAATGTGAAGTAAATAGATTTTTATCTGGTTTTTGAAGTGACATTTTTCTTATCTTGTTGCATTCCCTGCTCAGCTTTACCCCATTTAGGATATGAATCTGCCCTGATAAAATCTGCACTTTGGTGTGCAGGATTTGACAATCCATATATTTCAGTTTCCCTTATTGCCTGTGTCCCCACCTTCTTCACGCTGAGCAATTTAGCTTTTAGTAGTTTTTAAAATGATATATAAACTTGATAAAGATTGGATTGACATCGACAGTGTTACTTGAGCATATTTTCAAGAGAAGTGATCTGTGAAGGAATTAAAACCAAACCCAAACACTGACCATCTCTCTCTCTCCTTTCAAAAAGACAGTTTTGTTAATCTGAAAGCCACTGACTATCATCTGCAGGAAGTATTAGTAGAATGATTAGCCACTCTGATACAAGCAGTTCGACAGACTATGACTTAAAATCAGTGAACTGTGGGAACTGTTCTCACCTGAATGTAAGGCATGTGTTTTCCATTAATGGGAACTAACACCAGACACTAATCTAGAAATGTTTGGGGAGTTATTATGCTGCATCGTACAAGAATAATCCAAGATATTGGGAGGATGCTGTGAGGCTTAAGTGCAGTGTTCAGGTTTTGCTGCTGTTGTGATTGTAGCTATTTCTTTCAGGTATTAGTGACTGTACCGCTGGCCCTTCTTCAGAAAAATGCCATTCAGTTTAATCCTCCACTGTCAGAAAAAAAGATTAAAGCCATTAATAGTTTGGGAGCAGGAGTCATTGAGAAGGTAAGGGATCTCATATTATCTTTAGTTTTCTTTTCATAGAAAAGATCGTTATGATATCAAAAAGTTTAATTCTGTCTTTCTCTCTCTCCTTCTAGATTGCCTTGCAGTTTCCTTACAGATTTTGGGACAGTAAAATTCAAGGAGCTGATTTTTTTGGTCACGTTCCACCCAACTCTAGCCAACGTGGGCTCTTTAGTGTTTTCTATGATATGGATCCAGAGGTATGATAGGCTAGATGTATTTTTTGTTGGCCCTTCAGAAATGCACTTTGGATTCTAGGTGCACTAATTACTGAAAAATGAAATTTTTCTTCTTCCCCCCACCTTTGCTACCGTGAAAAGCAGTGGAAGCAGTGCTATTTATCAAGGAAAAGCTGATCGATACTTTGTTGTAATAAATGGGAATGTTTTCTATTGTTTGGATACAAAGTAATATACAAATCAAGTACATTCTCTAACTGTCCTAAAAACAAGTGTCTAATACCTTACTTTAGATCTACCAATGTGGGAAAAAGTCTACCTCTCGCTTCCAGTTTAGGACTTCTGTTTTGCTTATTTAAATCAGCTAAAAACCCTGTTAAAAAGATCATGCTGGCTTAGTAACACTTAACAGGCTTGCAGTAGCCTGAATAACTATGTGCAATAGCAGAAGAAAAGACAAACACCAAGTTTTGCATGAAACTGAGGTCTTGGGTCAGTCCCAAACTCACGAATTTCAAAGCAAATTCAAACCAGTGCATTGACATCACGCAAGGGATATCCAAGCAGACACATCACATATTTATATTATACCTTTTCATACTTTTCCAACAACTGCTGCTTACTTCTTTGCAGCGATTAAAAGGCCATTTTGTAACCTTATGTTTTACTTCAAAAGGAAACCATCCTGTGAGAACTGTGCTCTGTTACTACATTATTTGTACTTGCATACAACTTTGATTGAATGAGTCCTCTCCAGTACTTCTAAGCCCATTCTACACGAGGTTCAGTGTGCTGGTGCTGTCCAGAAACACTACACATAATTCTTAATTTCTTTGATAGCTATTCCCTGCTAGTTATCAAGTTAAGTAACAGAAGGATTGCCATATATAAACAAGAGAGGAAGAGTTCTTCAAAGGAGTTGAGAACCTGTGTGCTCTTCCATAGTCACCACTTCATCTCGAAAACTTCTGCGTGCTAGCAGATATCTTGAAGTGGAACAAAATATCAGTAGGCCTTTCATTTCTTGGTCCAAAATCTGCTGGTAAGAATTTAGTATTGGCCTAATCCAAAACATATCTAACCACTGTTTAAATAGATTCTCGTTGTCATCACCTTTTGAAAATGGACTGTAACTGAGGTAGAAGTTCGGCGAGGAATGGGGCTTAAGAGGTCACACAAAGAATAACCCTATAAATGTGTTGTTTTTTTTTTTTTTGTATTGCCTTTAAATAGGCAGATAGGAAGTTTTCAGTTAATTCAGTAAGTTGTAAAAGGGGCTGACTGTAACAGATCTGTGAACAAGACATCAGCAGATATAGTAATTTGAGCATAAATACTGTAGAATGTGCACCCTTTATTCGAAGGAATCAAACTCAATTTCCTCTAGAACAAAAGTTCCTTTGCAGCTGAAAATATCTTTGCAATACCAGCTAAAAGGGACTATTCAAGAAATACTTAATAACCTAATGAGGTCTTGTTTTTAGGGCAAAGAAAGCATTTTAATGTCAGTGGTCACTGGAGATGCTGTGGCAACCATTAAGAATTTAGATGATCAACAAGTACTGCAACAGTGTATGACTGTACTCAGAGAGCTGTTTAAGGAGCAGGTAAGAGAATCCTCTTATTAAGAGATGAATTAACTTGCCAACAGACATAAAGCTTTCAAATATAGTACTTCATGATGTATAGGAAAACCATTGACATTTTACCTGGAGGTATAGGCAAAATTATCTTGCACAGGCCCTGCATCCTGATTGTAAAAAAAAACACTAGATAAAAAATTCTTTTTTCCTTCCCTCAGATCATCGTTAGGATAAAAACTAATAGGAAAATCAGAGAAATCTGGGGCAAGCATAACACTGTCACTTAGCAATGTTATTTGCATTCTACTCTAGAGACAGTAATGCTTCTGTTAATTTACTCAGAGCAGGTAGATCCCAAGGAATGATTGTGTTAATAATGTTCAGGGGTGAACTCTCAAGTTTTACTGATGGTTCAGATATTAGAATTAATGATCTTGGAGGAACTTCAGCATCTGAAAACTCAACTATTCCTAGAAAACATAGTTTTGGTTATGGCTTTATTGTTACTAGAACCATGTGCAGTGAAAGTCCACATACCTGCTTCTGTTTACTTGTTCTTCAGCTCCTCCAGAGGGGGCCGCAGCCGTGGTTGACTAAGCCTTCTTACAAGTGTTATCCAGGCTCTTTTTGGTAGAATTATGTGGAATTTGCATGCTGGAATGTGACAAAGAATACACGGTATTACTGTCACAGCTCAGCTGTGGGCACTGACTTTCTGGTCTTTGTTTTCTCCCTGAGCCTAGTTTACAAGACAGCTTTTCCTGATCTTAGATAAGTTATCTTATTTCTCTGTTGGAATAAAATTATCTCCAAAACGACTGCATTTTGAGATGAATAATGTTATCAGTATTGGATTTGTTTACAAGATTATGTATGTATTTTGAGAATTTTTTTCTCACGTGTAGTTCTAGGTATATTACAATATGCAGATTTGTTGCATTCAGAACAATGCAGCTGTGATGTTTCAGGCATCAGGCAAATCTAGCCAAAAAAATTATCTTCGTGGTTAGTACTAAAATAAAAAAAAATCAGAATTTAATCCCCAAATGCAATCTAACCCGTATCTTAATACTACTGCATACTCTAAAAATTGCAAGAAGCTGTTTATGAGAAAAAGCTACGCAATTAAGAACTTTTCTTCGCGGTGCATAACTTTTGTGTTGATTATGCAGGAGGTTCCTGACCCAGTGAAGTTTTTTGTTACCCGCTGGAGCAACGACCCTTGGCTCCAGATGGCATACAGCTTTGTGAAAACAGGGGGCAGCGGGGAAGCTTATGACATTATAGCTGAAGACATACAAGGAAAAATCTTTTTTGCTGGTGAGGTAAGTATCGTTGTTGCTGGCAACTAAGGTTATCAGGGAGCAGCTTCTTACGGAAGATTGTGTTTTGCTAAACACCACCATTAACCTAGAGGTAGCATATAAATATTCTGTTCTGATAGTTTTAGAAACAAATAACTTTTTTCTTTTTTTTTTTTTTTTTTATAATACAGGCCACAAATAGGCACTTTCCTCAGACGGTTACAGGAGCTTACTTGAGTGGGGTTCGAGAAGCCAGCAAAATAGCAGCATTTTAAGTACTGAAGTTTTGTGTTTATAGATATATTTTTAATTGTTTTCTGTGGGTAAAATGATCTTCAAGTTTCCTATTGCTGCCTTTTTCCTATGTGGTACTTGAATAGTATATGGTACCTGAAGATAAAATCTTCACCTTCTCCTCTTTCTCCCCCTGCCCCGTTTTTAAGCCCTGATGATACATATTGTTGGGGTGTTTTTTTAAGCCCTGATGATACATATTGTTGGGGTGGTTTTTTTTCCAGCTAATATTACTAGCAGGAGTGACATTGGAATCCCTGACCACAGCTTTAGGAAGAGGATTTTTGTCAAGAGTCTTCTTCTGTGTGGCTCAAGTCATGTTACTGTGAACCTTCATTTCAGAAGGTCAGATTAAAACAAGACTAAAGGTTACATACAGCATTAAAAATGCTGGCAGTTAGTTATGATGATGGGAATTTTCCACTAATTGTGCTTCTCAGGTTGATTATGCTCAAAGGAGTTCATACAGGCTTCCAAGAGCCTGAATAGCCTAGAAAAATGTTATAATTATTGTAGGAAGGAATTCAACGATCAGTTTTCCCACTTGCAATCAATAAACTTTTCTATAATATTTTTTCATATTCTTAGCTTCACTAAGTGAGCTTTGGAATATGAAGTTTGTTCCTTTAATAAATGAGCTGGAACAGTTTACAGTGCAATCATAGAAAGGTTATTGTAGCTAAATAAAACTTGAAAAATTAATTTTTACATTACTTCTAAAAACTTTGAAATATTCTCTGCTACTTATTCAGAGGAATTCTTGTTACAATAATAGGCTAGTATTTTAGATTTGCTCATTGTTTCTGGTCATGTAGAAACAGGACAGCTTAAAAATACTATATTTCTCTGATTATTTTGAAAACAAACTTCCAAATTCATTTGGGCTGAGTAGAGGAATTATCTATTGATTTGAGTGTACAGTGGGGGGTGAAGGACTAATCTCATTCAGCTTTTATATTAAAAAATAAGTGAAGATGAATGGGGAAAAATATTAACACTTTTATGAAGGGCTGAAAGATGGTGGCTTGCACTTTGACTTGAAGTTTTTTTTTCTTATTAGAATATTATTTTAAAAAATGAGGGAGTAATTCAGTAAAGGCTAAACATCTATCTAGTAGCTTTTCCATGAGACAGGGCAGAAAATATTTTTTAACAGAAACAAGACAGACACAATCAGAATCTCTGTTGTAATACTGCTCCACTAAAATGTTACTAATGAAAAAAAAATTAAAATCTACTTTTCGATCTCTTCCCTCACACCTTCCCTATAACTTCACTGTTATACAGACCCTCATGCTTTCTAAAATGAACGTAAGCACTTATACAGTTCTCCTGTGCAGGCTTTTGTCTTTTTTTATTCTCTTCATTTAGGAATGACATAGCAATTTGGTGGGGGTTTTTTTGGTGTTTTTGTTGGCTTTTTTTTTTTTTTTTTTTTTTTTTTTTTTTTTTTTTTTTTTTTTTTTTTTTTTTTTTTTTTTTTTTTTTTTTTTTTTTTTTTGAGTTCCAGTGCTTATTTCCATAAAGCTTTATCCTTGGAAAAAAAAAAAAACAGGCAACCTTAAGAAAAATCATAGAATGTTAAAGGTGTTGGAATGGACCTTAAAGATCATGCAGTCCCAACCCACCCTGCCGTGGGCAGGGACACTTCTGACATGACCAGGTTGCTCAAGGCCTTACCCAGCCTGGCTTTGACCACCACCAGGGTCCTACTGAATAAATGCAATCCTTCTTTTCAAATACCTAATGTTTTGGTTTTAGAGTAGCTGTGATATTGTTAAAAACCCTTTATTTAATCCTTAATTTCCAAGGTGAAGATGTTTCTATAACCAGATGTTTTTCAGATATATATTCTGTTCTGCTTCTTAAAGCTGGGTTATATGATTTAATAGGGAGAGTGAATTTTTTCATAATTTTGCTCTACATAAATGCTAGTATGTAGTGTTTTAAAGCATTTCCAAGTATTAAATAGTAATATAAAGGCTACAAGAAGCAAGACAAAGCTCTCTGATGATAAAAGATAATCAGACATCAAATTTTTCTTTTGGTAGTCATTTGCACTTTGCTAATTTCATGTATCACGGGCCACCTTATGGCATAACTTGGAAAGATTGAGAGCTATGTATGTTTTGAGTTCCAAGTTTCTTTCCCACTTTACCATATATGACAAATTCTTAGCAGAGGAGCTTCTGGTGGTGGGAAAAAAAGCTTATTACTATAAGCCCAAAACATTATATTCCGTGGCTGCTTCAGCTGACCTCGTTCAAAACTTCAGTCAGCTTATTAAAATATAAACACGTCCCATTTCGGGTAGGAATGGTCTGGAAAGTTTAGCTCAGCATCCTTTTCTGCAGTCCAAAGTTTGTGTGAACGTGCTCAGTGGCATCCTGTTAATTCGTATTTGGGGTTTTCAATCTACCTGCAACTTTGCAGGGAGATAAATGCTATATCCTAGAGAAGAGAGATGGACATGAACAAATACAGTCAGATTTGGCTTTAGATGATGCACACTTACAGCATTACAAAAATGGATAACAAATGATAAATTTAATCAATGGCCTAGTCTATTAATTATTTGTATATTATTTTGGTGCCAGGGCACTTAAACTGTGTTGTGCTGCACTTAATTTTGAGGAGTAAATAAAATAAGTATGTTCCATTTTAATTTACATTCACTTGAAATATATAAGAACATCAGGCTGGTTCTGAGACTTCATTCTTTAATGTTGCCCAAATTTTTTTTTCATATCTATGTTAAAATTTATTTCAAGCATGTATGTGTTTTGTGTTTAATTTATTCCCTCAAATAAAGAACTGGGGAATGTTTTCTTTGAGTAGATTTGTTTAAATGTTATAAAAAAAAAATATTTGAATGCAGAGCATGATTTGTTACAATTAAAATTCTTCTGTGTGACTACGTTATGGCAGCAGAATAAAACTGGAAAGTATTCACAGGACGTCCCTGTTTTGGTTGTTTTGTTTTTTGTTTGTTGTTTTTTTTTTCTCTTTCTTTCTTTTTTCCTATAATGAGAGGCTAAGCCTCCTTTTGTGTTACACTTTAACCTGACTTAAAATTTCATTTTAGTATATTCCTACAGCTGGACAATTCCTCAGAAGTGCTGCTTTACAGCCTTCCCTGGGCTCTAAGTCTGCCGTTCTTTGGACAAGACTGTTTTCAGTGTCTTTTGCCTCAAAGTTTTATGAAGCAACTCAGAAGCTTGTATTAGATGATTTGCCTTAGCCACAGGAAATTTAAGCTGAAGTGATAATTATTTAGAAGCACTGCCCAGAATTTAAAAATATCACCAGGGAACCATTTAATGCTTTTCACTGAATAAGTGTAGGGTGAACACTTTGTAGGACTGAGGTCCCAAAATGTTCCTGCTAGCACAGATCACTATAAGCACAATGCCCCTGACTCAAAACGTTTAAAGAAGAAATAATGACAAATTCTGGTAACACTTACTTGAATGCTACATTGTTCCTCTTGAATGGGAGGATAGGTGTTCATTTAGTCTGACTACAGGGGCCTTAAAAAAAAAAGTATTCCTACTGCTTTGAAAGTTTATTTCACCCACATGTAGGCCTGAACTAGTGGAATTACTGTGGAGAAGATTCACTGCTTTCACCTAACCATGTCGTACTTGGTGAACAGTTCAAATTTTGTATCCTGAAGATGTGCTTTGTTCTTGAAATGCTAACTCATTACGCCTCATACTGGTTTTGAGAAATGCTAACTTTATTCTAAGAGTAACAATCTTTAAAATAGAAACAAAATACTGATGATGCTTTTTAAAATAATGTACAAATCAGAAGATGCCATCACACTCCTCAAAGAATGACAATCCATCAAGAAAACTGTGTGAGAGGATATTTTTTTTCCTTTTAGCCCAGCTGTCTAAAACTTAGTTCAGTGGTAGAAGTGAAATAGTGAATCTATACTAGCTGCAGTCCAGAACAAGGTCAGGTGAAAAGGCAGGGCATGTTACATAATAACTGCCATCCTCTTATCCCCAGAACCTCTGGAGATCATCTGGTACCAAAGCTGCTGCTTGGAACAGGGCCAACTGGAATACTGATTATACTAGACGTCTTACTGCAAGTTTTTCAGACAGTATTTTGGTGCCTTGTAGGTTTTTCCGCTCTTCTCCCCAAACTACCACCACAACTATTTTCACCCATGCTTTCATCTAGCTCAGGTCAAACAAATAAAGTTGATTATAGCTAACTTTCTGATTTGGAAAGATTGGATCTGCACAAGTGGTCATGAGCCATCCTCTCTGAATCAGCAACAGAGCTAATAAACCTTACTGGAATCCCCATGCTGACAGCCAGGGGTATTATTTGTCTGTATTAAGCACTGGCCTTCCAAAAGGGTTAGTTTTAAGTACAGCTTAGCAGTGGCTAATATAAACTCAGACAGTTCTTAGATCTTGTTTAGTCATGTGCCTTATGACAGGATAATGCAGAAAGAACACAGATCCTATAAGCAGCCTGCTCAGGTACCAGAGGGCTGTTAGTCCAGAGCTTCTGGACAAAAATGGGATGGCTTTTAACACCGTGTCTTCCTAATTTCGTCTTGGTTAGACATGCCAGAGCAGTATACCATGGGTTACCACATAACTCCTAAAGACACATAACCTCTCTTCACTCAAGATTTCTGATCTTTCTCTCTCCATCTTCCTTCTCCTCCAGGGCCCATACGCTGTTACCTCAGAGGTCAAGCTCACTCATAAGAACAGCTGCTTTTATCAGCAAGTCATTCAGGTTAACTTATGTGGTTTTGCAGGTCACCAACCAAAATACTGAATACCAAAGACTTAACCAGAGGAACCAATACACTGGATTGTAGGAATTATGCTGTAAGCAATCAAATCAAGATGTTCAGAGTATTTTTTTTAGAGTGAAAGGTCAGGACATTACCTTAAGCATCTGCAAGGTGTATGCCTGAAGAGGTATAACTCTTTATTCAGTTACCTTTTATCCAGTTAACCCATTTCTATTTTTTTTATTAGCCTCTTTGTACAGGATTTAAATCCTTAATCATCTGTGTTTCTAATCCAATAGAATCAGGATAAGCAGGGCATTTTATTTACCTTTTAGTATTGTCCTGAATCCTTTCTCCCAGTTGCAGAAAGAACTGGGATCTTGTATCGGCTGCATCCAGACTGGTATGGATTAGCAGGAAAAC